AAAATGAATTCGCCACCGAAAAGAGACTCTTCGCTGAACTACAACACGTGTTTTGTTTTCACTAACTTATCAGTGCATTCGAAATCTTTTGGAATGCATAGATTTTGTTCCACTTATCTGAGAGAGTTCAACGGCATAATGACGTAATAATGCCTTATAATAAATGTTTTTTGAACTGTTTAATAATGCCTAGCACTAGATGATTATGACGCAATCAGATCTGTGTATATTCTCTATATTTCTTAATTAATTATCTTACAGATTTAAATCTCAACGTTCACTACCTGGTCCAGTATTTTCTATATCACCGCCATTGGATTTAATTGGTGAAGGCCTGTTGTCATTCGCTGTTCTAACTAGTCGTGGCCTGCATGTATTTCAACATGATGTACAATGTCTTATCAAAGAGATTCATCACAGACTGAATCAGTGTGTTGTTACGCAACCTGCGATTTTAAAGACTTAATTTCTTTTTTTTCTACAAAAGCTATTTTTGAGAATAGATCATTTCTTTTTTCCTTAAAATACAAACTGTTTATCTGTTGACTGCCTTTTTATTTCTGGAATTTAATTACGTGGAATAGATTTATGGTATGCTGGGGTATTATGAGCCATCCTTGTTGCGTGAAGGCCTAATCTGAAGTAGATAGGATGGAATGCGAACTTGGAACCTGTTGGCCGAGAGTTGAACGTCATTTAAGTCACTGAGTTCGTTAGGCCTACTATAGAAATAAGTACAATGTACAGTTTGTGGGGCATATTCTTATTTTTGTTATTCCCATAGGTTACGTATGGAATATAGGGCTTCGACAACAGGTGCCGATTTCATCCTGTTCTCTGAATTCCTGTCCAGCTGGCTCCATGATCGCCCCCCCCCCCCAGGACGCTATTGTTATTCTTACTTGCTCTGGAAACGTGGACGCCAATAGCTATTATTCCACATATATCAAACACGTCAGATGAGTGTACAGAAGAGACAGTATTCCATAAATGCAACATCACAATTTTTCTTCAAAACAAGAGACACCTATTGACAAGCAATGTTATTCATATAAAGCATTGAATTACAAAGGATTACCAATCTAATTAACTATGTCTATGAAATTAAATGGTTATAATATGATGCAATATGCATTAGATAAGCTTCAGTATCAGAAGAAATGAACATCACAAAACCTGTATTGTACACCGGTGAGAAAAGCCAGTACAACTGGAAAATTGTCATTAGGCATGGGTCTACATGCTATATATAGACTTAGGTCACAAAATTGATTTAAGGGAATAATATAAAAAGATAGTTGCGGCGAAGAAAATTTTCTTTTTGACGAAGTCATCAAATAGACAGCTGTACATTCATGGATTTATAATGAATGGTTGGGAAAGCTCGAGAATAATATCCGATCAAGGGGCAAATCAATAAAATTACAGTTAGGAATCGAAATGCCATAATAAACAGGAGGGGGACGGATAAAACTTAAACAAAGTAGCATTATAATTACTGAGAAGATTGATATATTGTGCAATTAGGGGCTAGAAATGTAGGAATAACAAAAATAGACAGGATGGCTGGATAAAAAATCCAATGGGATCATAACTAATGTGACGAATAATTGTTTATGCAATTAAGGACTAAATATGTAGAAATGATAAAATAGGCAGGAAGTTCGCATACGAAAATATGGTAGTGTAAATAGGGATTAAGAATAACGTGAATAAACAGGAAGTTTGGATACGAAATGTAATGGGATAGTCACTTGAAAGAATTATCTGTTTATGATGGTCATGGCAGGGATAAGGGTTGGACATATTTCTGTTGGATACATAGCGTGGGTTTGAGTTTTCGGATAGCTAGTGCCTCGGTTATACCCATATATCTTAATTTTACTCCCTTTGATAGGTTTGATCGAATCCTGTATATTATTTTGAAGGATTTTTCGAATGGCGCTGAATGTCCTGAGTTGACCAGATTTTCTGTCACTGAACCATATACACATTTTCGTTCTCTTTTTACTAGCCAGGCTGGATAGTGCTCACGAGTGCGTTTTTCAAGTTGGCGCATGGTACGGCCGATGTAATCAGCTCCGCACGTGAAAATAAACTGGTATATGCACATATTATTATTATTTCATTTAATTCCTAGAGGAACATAGGGCTTCAGCCACACGTCTCTATTGCGTTCGGTTCTCTGTCAACGTTTTCACCTGGCTCCACGTCTGCCCACATGTTTTCATCTCCTCTTCACATGACCTCCTCCATGTCATCCTCACACTGACGACTAACTAACTCACCACTTCCCATTCGCGTTCCATTCGAGAGTGATGGCCTGGCATGTGATGTCACTTGATGGCTTATTTTTTCAGAGTATGGCCAATCCATTTCTTCACACATTTGTTGCACAATCGGTTCCTGGTTAGTTCACTCATTGCCAGAGATTCCTGTTGTGATCTTTTCTGGCTGGCCATCTGATCTTGAGTATTGAAAGAAGACAGCTGTTGATGGAGGTCTGTAGTTTGTTCGAAGTGCTCTTCACATATACTTTTCTCAAATATACTTTATTCAAAAGCTTCACCGTCTTTTATACACTCAGATTGATTAGAACACTTATGCATTCATCAGTTTAATATCACATTTTGATTCTCAATCCCTGTATGCTATTCTCTTCTAGATTCTTCGTCGGATTAAATCAAACATTTTAAAGGATGCAATTACCATTATTTGTGGAAAATTTCTATTCGAACATTAATAGACAGAAGACCAGTAGCTCAGTGAAGAGTCTCTTTTCGGACGCGAATTCATTTTCATAGCTGTACAATCGCAAATATATATATGGTTGTTTTGTATGTGTGTGTATATATTAAATTTGACAAACGAAAATACAATTAGTAAGTTCAGATGAATTGGATGTTGATATAAGAGGATAGTAACAAAAGTGATGAGTTGTCACAAACGATTGTTAAAGAAGAGTTACGTGATGGTGTAAATAGTTTGATGAAAGAGTTGTGCTCAGGGTGAACATGGAAACAAAATAACATACGGATTTACGCAAGAGTTTTAAGTAGTTAAAAGAATAGGCATATAAACAAAAGTTAAGTCTTTGGAAGGCAGTATGATTCCGTCTTCTTTGCATTGCAGAAGCCGCAGGCATTCAGTTGGAAGAACCAGAACTATGCATACAAAAGAAAATTATTCAACCACTTTTACTATCATGGTAACAACTGTGTTGATTTGACTTAACTTTTGCTTGTATGCTTATTTTTCTAACTACTTAAAACGCTTGCGTAATTCCGTATGTTATTTTGTTTCCATGTTCACCCTGAGCACAACTCTTCCATCAAACTGTTCACGTTATTACGTAACTCTTCTTTAACAATCGTTTGTGACAACTCATCACTTTTGTTACTATCCTCTTATATCAACATCCAATCCATCTGAACTTACTAATTGTATTTTCGTTTGTCAAATTTAATGTACACACACACACAAAACAACCATATATATATATATATATATATATATATATATATATATATATGCATATATTTGCGGTTGTACAGCTGTGAAAATGAATTCGCCACCGAAAAGAGACTCTTCACTGAGCTACTGATCTTCTGTCTACCATTATTTGACTGGTTTTAGAAATCCTATATTGAGTATAAATACGATTGTACAACAACAATTTTTTTGAAAATGATCCGTGGAAAAGGAAATTTTCTCTGCTGTTATTGTCTTCTTTCTAATGACGCATTAGGAGTAATCTGAATCCAATGTAATATTTACTGAAAACTCCTAGGGTATAGCTAACTAACTGTAGCTGATTTCCATGGTCGTTAAATCTCTTTACATTCATGATGAAAACCCTGTCTGAATCCTCGGTTTTACTGCTGGAATTGCCTCACAAAATGAAAACATTCGCTTCAAGATGGTGGGGCACACTACATATCCTATTTTTGTGTAATGAAACATTAATTAACTCAACAAACAAATATCGACAGTGACTAAGACCTTCATTGTTCTATTGAATCCGACTATAGAATTCGATTTCTGTAATACTGAATAATCAGTTACTTCCGTTTATTAGACTAGTCACAAAAACTAATCGACTCAGATAAATTTTGAAATTTTAAAAACCTAACGAAGTTGCTTAGAGTTACGGTGAGACGTTGTGACCAGTGGGATTCCATCAAGTAGGGTGAGAGGAGAAATACTCGCCGGTGATATTAGCTAGTGGTCACGCTAAAATCACGAATTGGTAGGAGTAGGAATTCATGGGCCATTGTTCCATTAACTGAATGGTCTACAGGCTCTACTCGGTTTCGAATCCAGGTGGGTGTTTGTAATGCTGAAGGTCCCAAACTATGGCGAAATGGCTGTTCAATGACCCCTGATGGTTTCCAACGTCTCTCTAACTGACATGAATTCGTGATCAAACTTCACAGAAACCAACTCATGGAAACGTTTTAACCACAGAACGTTACGAGTTATGATCGTTCGTATTCAGGTGTAGTAAAAGCAGCTAACCAGTTTTTAGCTGATTTGTATCTACGTTTGATTCGATTTTTGGGTGCAATATTGTATACTCGACAGTGATACTACCCTATTAGTGACCTTACCACAGATATACTGTGTTTCTGAGTAATCCTCCCCTCACCCCATGTGTGTAGTCTTCATTTATCACAAGTTAAAAGAATTGCATAATTGGTTACAAGATTTCATCATGAGTTGACATCGGTTAAAGAACCATTGGAAAACCAGCACTAGAGTGCTGGACAGCTGTTTCGCTCTAGTTTGGGACTCTTCATCAGTAGGACGAAACAGCTGTCCAGTACTCCCAGGTGGTTCTTTGACGGATGTCAACTCATGATGAATTCCTATGACCAATCAATCAAAATCCTTACAAACCAAATACTTGAAAATGATATAATTGCTTAATCATACAAATAAGCTTTCTGTTTTTTTCAATACTGCAATAGAATTCACATTAAAAGAAAAAAAAACATTTATTATTGTACAGGGAAATGGCATAAAGGACAATTCTGTAGTCTGGTTATTTCATGTTCATAAGCACAATGTTTACATGTTGGACACATCCAGAATTGATAATCTGTAACGGGTTGACCGGTGACTATACAAATAGGAATTTTCGTTTCACTGTAAAATGAGATTTTTTTCAACAACAAAAAAACAAGGTAGTGGATAAGATGAATAATGATGGAATGAATATTTTTTTTCAGTGTTATGTAAACGAACGAGTATAGGAATTCGAGTTCCACATGAATTTGAATTCGCAATGTACATTTGCGAGATGTAGTAGTTTAGTTTGCAGAATGACAGTTAAACTGAGTCAGGTAGGGAGATGCAGACTTCCGGGTTGGGGCCCGCCATCAGGACTTTAAGAATCAATGGCTCGAGACAATAGGTGACATGGCTCAAAATCGTTGTCAATGGCTTACGCAGATGTATTCAGTCACTTGTGTAATCTTTCATATTCCTTTCTACCATTACTCATTCTGTTTCACTCTTATACTTGTCACAACTCTATGGATTGTCTTCACCACTCATCTTCTTGTCTACCTTTGTGTGTATGCTATTTGGAACGTGGCAACTGGAACTTCTGCACTTCGGTGCGAAGTTCTATGTTGAATCCAGACAGCAGTTTGCAGAATATATACCTTGATACACTGAACACTCCAAGAAAGAGTTGTGGTTGTAACTACACAAATTCAAAACAGCTGGAGTTTTACAATTCTCGCTCTTCCTTTTGACTTCTCATAAAAGTAGCAGTTATACATATCTATACAATGTGGTCATTTTTTAAATATAATATAATAATAAAGTAGTGGTATAGATTGATACCTGATGCTGTATTTTTTTGAATCAACTGAAAATACATGCAGTAGGAATGGTTGGACACACATTCGAGACTTGTGAAAATTTCTACTACCCTTATGGTAAGTGGGAAGGAAGAATAAGGAAGTTGTGCGATCATGACTGACATGATAATGAACAGGTAGGGAATTGTGTTCAAAATGCCAAACAGTAAATAATTACCTTTCAATGTGTAATGTATCTGATAGGTTTGTTCACGAGGTGGTATCAGTTACAGAACTGTTGGAAAATTACCTGAGAGTACTGCATAGCTGTTTCATCCCAGTGCTTGGGGCCCTTCAGCAGTACGAACCTACTACCAGGGTTCGAATCCAGGACCTTTCAATTACAAGGTAAGCTCGTAGACCATTCAGCCACCGGGACACCGGCTCAATGACCAGCTCATGAATTCCAACTTCTGCCAATTCATTATATATATATATATACATGGTCTTTTGTCTATTAATGTTTGAATGGGGATTTTTCATGAATTAAAATGCTATTACCTAAGGGAAACTGCTAACACCAATGAGACTGTTGTAAAAGAATGAAATCTGCCATGTCTGACCCCCTTCAGTGTTTAAATTTGTTATTCAGTTTTCTGAACATCACGAAAACTTTCTCATCATTGAAATGATAGTGGGAGTTACAATAACATGAAGCCAATAGTTTAGGTATTTTCTCACACTTAAATATAATTCACGTGTAAGAAATCCCACGTGTTCAATTTCTTCTTACATTAAACATGTCAACCGCAGCAATAGAAAATCAACCTTTGGATCACTTGAGATAGCATCGGATGAAGAGATTGAACTTTAAGTATATTCATCTATTAAAACATAAACTTGGCTTACTATGGGTCATGCAAAATCGTATAGTTCATACAGGGACTAGAATATTGTTCGGGCGCTCAGACTGAAGAAGGTGGTTGTCTTAAAGAGCCTTTGGCTTAAATTTTGATCGACAAGGTAATGGTATGGTATCAGGAGTTACTTTTCCTAGGTTGCCACTGTTATTGATTCTGTAGCCTATATACCCCACAGGTTTGTAATCAGCGTCCTCCAACTCCTCTAGTTAGATCTGAATGTTCACCAGTTCGGTTGTAAGTGCCAGACGCCCTTCCACTTCAATGGCAGAGACTATGAACGGCTTTCAACATAAAAAGTGACCTAGAGCTGGAGAAATGAGACCAGGTTTGATATGAATTTTGAACAATTAGACTTAGGGATTTAAAAATTATTATGACGATGATTTATTTTTTCATTATCCATCATCAACATCTTCCTTAAACTTACTCAAAATTAATAAATCCACATACCTCTCTAACATTGAATCCATTTCAGGGAATTCCATTGTGTTCTGTTGTTCATTTGTAGGTGGATATCTGTAAAAGATTTTTAAAAAGTACGTCAGTCAAATTAGAGTGGTGACTGTATTTTGAGCTGAGGTAGTCGATATAGTGCATTGATCACCACATTTTAAGCAAAACTAATAGTAGTAGCACAACTAGAACCAACCGTCTTTAGACTAGTGATTCATTCTGTAGCGGTAAGTTTATGTTTTTTTCCTTCACGTTCCCAGTTGAACATAGGGCCTCAAGCTAGTGGCTTGAAGTTTCTGGAGCAGTCTTCAATTTTTACAGGATGGGGTTGCTAGCCTCATGTCCAACCTTACCTCTTTATTTCTGGCTTAGCGAGGTAAAGAAGTGCGTCGGCCGGGGATCGAACCCCGGACCATGTGCATGGTCGACGAGCGTCCTAACCGCTGTGCCACCGACGCACGTGACGGTAAGTAATTCCCTAAAATTATTAGCTGACAGTTTTTGTCTTCATTCAACATTGGTGCTGACTTTTGTTAGTTAGCTTGAAGATATGCGGTTAAACATACTCGCCGTTTTTTTTTAAATTGTCACGTTACGTTCAGTTGTTCTTACATAATTTCTGGTAGTTAGCATTACTGAAATGTGTTCTGTATTCTGGACGATTTCATCGTCAGACTCATATGGCTTGCTAATTAACTGTCTTCTGGTCCACCTTAAATTAATACATATGGAGTTGAAGGATAATAATTGTCTACTGTACTGTCATCATTTTGTCGTCCTTACTAGACAACACTTCATCCTTCGGAAAGTTCTAAAATTTATTTTCTGATTGCCACATAAAGTACTCGGTGAGTGAAATGGAATGAAAACCCAAACATTCGAGGTTCCCGCTACATATTCACACAATGCATCAGTGATTTACTGTTAGAATGTTCTCCAACTACGCATGTGATCGGGGTTCGACCCCTGGTCGACACGCTCCTCAACCTCACTTAGTTGTTAATAAGCTATGAGAAGGGAGGCAGAGGTTAGGCATAAAGATAGAAACTTTAACACTTAGTGAAATGCCAAAGTTTGAAGCTGTATAGTCCACGGGGAACACATTCACGCTGTTTTCTGTTTCGGTAGTTGAAATAAAAGGCAGAGGCCATTTGTGCTGTGCATAAAGTGCCAACACTGTCATTTATTCAGAATAACTCACTTGGAAAATATATCCACAGCTAATTCTTTTATTGCATTCTGTTCCATTTGTGAGATATCTGTTAAATTTTCTAATTTTATAAATGCTTTAGAACATGTAGCAAAGCATTTTGCATAGATGGAACACAGAGCTGTTCAGAAGAAGAACAAAAAGAAGTGGAGAAGATAGAGAATAAAAACAGTTGCAGAGTTAGTTAACATCTACCAAACTTTATACATACACATACCACAAGAATAAGAAGGATATCCACCAGGGATATAATCGACAGGTAACTGAAGTGACTCAGACAAGTCTTCTTGGAAAATGGATACCTCCAAGATTCATCGAGAAAAATATGAAGGTAAAGCGAAAACCCACAAGAACCCAGATGGTACCGAGGAAACATTATTTATGATGCCACTAGATTTTTTATTGGATTTGGTGCGTCGGTGGCATAGCGGTTAGGACGCTAGCCGACTATGCACATGGTCCGGGGTTCGATCCCTGACCGACACACTCCTTTACCTCGCTAAGCCAGAAATAAAAGCTGGTGAAGAGGAAAGGATAGGCATGAGGCTAGCAACCCCATCCTGTAAAAATAAACACTGCTACAGAAACTTCAAGCTTCTAGCTTGAGGCCCTATGTTCCACTGGGAACGTGAAGGAATAAAAAAAAGGTTTTTTATCCAAACATCCTGTCTATTTTTTTATTTTTACATTTCTAACCCCTAATTGCACGATATGTCAATCTTCTCAGTGATTATGATGCTACTTTGTTTGAGCGTTATCCGTCCCTCTCCTGTTTATTATGGCATTTTGATTCCTAATTGTAATTTTATTAGTTTGACCTTTGACCGGAAATATTTCTAGGATAATACTACAACCTATCTATCTACTCTACTTTATTCTGTATCCGATCTTCGTGTTTATTACACTTTGTAATTTCATTCATTTGACCTTTCACCGGAAATAGTTCTGGTCTGCAATGACGAATATTTTTGCTCATGTATAAATGGTGTATTGGAAATTCTCTTGCACAATATTGGGGAATTCCGTGGACCACTGTTCACACACTTGCTCACAGAAACTGAAATCAGCGATGAGTAATTTCTTCGGATGATAAAGTTACCTGGTATCGTCATCATCTTTCGAGTATTTTCAATGTGTTTCCGTTAAAATTGTTCAGACACACACACAAACACACGGTCAACCAATCAATGGTCTAACAGATGAGATCTTATGGTTCTCTTCAAAGATCGATCTACAGGAAACCAACATGGAATGGTCAGTGCACAAATTTTCATAGTTAGGTCCCTTTGAGAAGAAAAAGAAACCTGATCCACAAAAATAAGAAAGATATGTTCGGATGATACAATCGACGGGAAACTGGAGCGACTCAGACAAGTCCTCATGGAGAATGGATATCCCCCAAGATATATTGAGAAGAACATTAAGTTAAAACAAAAGCCTGAAAGAATCCAAAAGGTGGCGAAGAAACTGCTGTTTATGAGCGTTGAATTTAAAGGTGATACCGAGGCTGAGATTCTGAAGAACTGATTGTCCAGATCACTGAGAAATGCCTTCTTTACGGCTGAACTACGGATCAATTTCTATAGCCAACAAATGATCAGTGGATGTATGAAAGATAAACTGTGGCTTTAGGTCACTTCAATGTGTGTTTATAAATTCACCTGCTCGTGTAGAGCTAGTTATATTGGCGGCATAAAGCGCACACTTTCCAAACGTATCTCTGAACATTATCCGGTATGGTTAGCTAAAGGACAATGCAAGACAGTTACTAGCTCAATTGTCGAGCACTTGGTGAACTCAAGCCATGTAGCTATAACTGCTGCTGTTGCTGCTGCTAGGTTCAACATAGAACTTGGCACCGAAGTGCAGCACTTCGAGTTGCCACGTTCCAAATAGCACACAAAGGTAGACAAGAAAATGAGTGAAGAGAATCAATAGAATTTAGATAAGTATAAGAGTGAAACAGAATGAGTAATGGTAGAAAGGAATATGAAGGTTAAAGAGACTGAATGTAGTTATAACAGAGTCGTTTTACAAGATTATTTACGAGATGATGCTAAATGTTACAAAGGGAGTCAGGTTTCGGCATTTGTGTATAGCGGAGGCGTTGGCAACTCGTCAATACAAACCCGAACTCTGTATACAGAAGAAGTTTGTCCAGTCTCTTATTCTCCCATGGTCTTAACCTCTTCATTAGTCGTTCCCTGTAAAATAATTTTCAATTTTACTTTTAGTTTGCTATTACTTTAATAATAATTAAGTCACTATAATCACTATCATATGCTCCTTTTGTACATTTTCACACCCTCTTTACGCTTGTTAAATATACACTCAACTGCCTTTATTCTCACTCAATAACAATTTTAACCTTATCAAATTTCTAAAGCTTTCTTCCTTTGGGCCACTGAATGTTACGTAAGTTACAACTTTTATTTTTACTTTTGAAGCCACTTCTGAGTAATTATATAGGTAATGTCGCCCACCACCCCCCACCTTTATTGCTCAGTAATGGACTACTAAACATTTTTGGTAGATATAATTACTAACGTACAGCCTCTGAAGATGATTTCATCGATAAAGAAAATGTATACATACAGTTCACCTCAGCGATGATTCGTGTTGTCTGCTGTCATATATTGTAAACTTAATTGTGAAGTTATAAACATGAAATAGAATTAGACAATGAAACACTTATTAATTTTCAGTTACGAATCTATAGTATCGAGAAAAAAAAATTGGCGTGTTACTCAACCAAATGAGACGTTTGAGATACAGTTTGTGATTAGAACTAAATTAAGATTTTGTTAGCAGTTGGTAGAGCACCAGTCCAATAGTCCGAAGTGCTTCTGTCCCACATTCACCGGTGGCTTAAGTTATCATTTTGTCTTTAATTACCGCACGCATTAAGTAAGTATCAGTCCACAAATGCAGTTTTACTAAAACTGTAGGTTTAAGGAGTCAGACAAAGGTCGGTCGGTCGGTCGGTTTTCGACATAGAACTTTGCACACATGTGCAGCAGTTCAAGTCGCCACACTCCCTCCATGTAGCACACAAAGCAAGAGAAGAAAGTAGGAGAAATGCAAAATATAGACAGTAGAGAGGGGTGTGAGACAAAAGTATAGTAATAACGAAGAACAAAACAGTTTCATTGGAAATCATAAGTCACAAGGAGTGGATGCATCTGCGCCAGTCATTGAGAACGATTTTGAGCCATGTCACCAATTGTTTCCAACCATTGGTTTTTACCGTCCCGAGGACCCCAACCAGTCAGGAAGTCTACACCTTCCTACGTGGCTTAGACTAACTGTTGCGGATTTCATTGACTGATGAGGCCATATTTTCGTTTGACCGCCACTAGCTCTTTTCCAGCCTGGCTCTATATCAGCTAAGACGTAACTTCAAGTTAGGTCAGAAACACGAAGTCCTAGTTTGGGATTCTCCCGTAATGCACGCCAGGGACCGAACTCAAGATTATCAGTTTACAAGGTGAGTCTGTTTATCGTTTGTCTATTAGGACGGAATCCAATGATCTGTGAATTCTAACTTCTGCGAATTCAGCACATGTAGATCCACAGACAGCTAATGATATCGACAAGTATCTGCCTTCATACCAGATCCGATGTGTCACATTGGTCGCGACATTCCACCAGAACTCTGCCAAAGTATGCTCCACTCAAAAATCCCAAACCCGAATGAAATAGCTGTCCAGTACATCCTGGTTTTCTAATGGTTCTCCATGTGAAGTCAGCTTGTGTTCAAACGTGAAATTGTATTTCTTCAAAGACTTTTCAAACGTTGAAATAAAAGGAATTATCTTTTCAAACCGACGACATAGTCCTGTTAGGGGAGGACGCTGACAAAATGCAGAGTCTTCTGAACACCTTGAGCAGCAATCTTCGTATGTTTGGCATGCGATTCGCCCCTGTGAAATGTAAGATGCTGCTACAGGACTGGACTACGTCAACTCCTAGCTTAGTGATAGGGAGTGAAGTGATAGAACATGTTGACCACTTCACCTATTTAGGAAGTTGTATCAGCACCAACGGATTGATTGGTGACGAAATCACAGCACGGATCCAGAAAGCTAGGGCTGCTTTCGCTAATTTACACCGTCTCTGGCGTAGGCGTGACATCCGACTGTCAACCAAGGGACGTGTATACTGCTCACCAGTTCGCTCCGTCCTTCTCTATGGCGGTGAGACGTGGCCATTGAGAGCGGAAGACATGAAGAGATTGTCTGTTTTTGACCACAGATGTTTACGATCTCTTTCTCGCGTTAGGTGGTATAATAAGGTAAGTAATGTTGACGTTAGGCGTAGAGTGTTGGGCAAAGAGGGAAAATCACTCGAAGAGGCTATGAAGTTACATGGATTGAGATGGTTAGGCCACGTGCTGCGCATGCCTAACCATCGTCTCCCCGACGGGCATTACTAGCTGATATATGTTCAGGTTGGAAAAGAGTAAGTGGTGGCCAAACAAAAACATGGCCTCATCAATCCATGAAATCCCTGACAGTTAAACTGAGTCAGGTAGGGAGATGCAGACTTCCGAGATGGGGCCCGCCCTCGGGACTCTAAGAATCAATGGCTGGAGACAATAGGTGACATGGCTCAAAATCGTTGTCAATGGCTTACGCAGATGTATTCAGTCTCTGTATTCTTTCATATTCCTTTCTACCATTACTCATTCTGTTTCACTCTTATACTTGTCGAAACTCTATTGATTCTCTTCACTCATCTTCTTGTCTACCTTTGTGTGATATTTGGAACGTGGCAACTCGAAGTGCTGCACTTCGGTGCCAAGTTCTATGTTGAATCCAGACAGACAGACAGATTACCTAAATTACTTGAAATGCCAAAAGGATAAAACGGAAAGCAGTAACAGTCTTCAGCTATAAAAATGTCATAACTGACAATGCTACAGACGTGTATCAGTTAGCGTTATTACTCCCCTCTTTAACTACAATTAATACTATTCAAAAAACTCTGAGTACACAAGAAGACTACCTAAATTTCCATTTGTTGGTGACATGTTGACACTGACTAATGATTGTTAACAAACATATCAGTGCTAATTGATTGGTAAATTGTTGTGTATTGTAATAAAAATGCTATAGGTGTATAATAGAGTAGAGCCAGAGATGAGGATCTGATTGAAAAATAAATATTTCTTCGCTCAATCTTTCTGTTTCCAAGATGGGTATGGATTAAGCATACTCTGAGGAGATCGTTAAGTTACACCTCGCGCCAAGCCTACGACTGCAACCCAAACGTGAACAGACAAGTTGTGCTAGGGTTCGAGGGTGATATGAAGGAGATCGTGTGAGCTGAAAATGAAATCCTACGCGCAATCATAAAGCCAGATAAAGAAGGACTGTATGAGACAAGGTGAAATGAAGAGGTGCTGCCCAATGTAAAGATCAGATAACTGGCCCAATAGACAAGATAAACAACTAGGAATTCTAGTGGCGAACCAATCAAGAACCTATCTGTCAACAAATGTGTAGAACAAGGTGGAGATGGGTTAAACATACGCTGTTATCAGGTAATAATCTTGTTGACTTGGAATATGCAGATGATATAGTCTTGCCTCCTAGGTGAAGACGCTGACAAAATGCAGAGTCTTCTGAACACCTTGAGTTGCAATCTACGAATGTTTGGTATGCTGTTCGCTCCCGCCAAAGTTAAGATGACGCTACGGGACTGGACTACGCTGACTCCTAGCTTAGAGATAGACAGGAGTGAAGTAGTAGAGCACATTGACCACTTCACTTATTTGGGAAGTTACATCAGCCGACGCCAGTGGGTTCGTCGCTGACGAAAGCTCAGCGCAGACACAGAAGCCTCGTTTCGCATATGTCAGTTTACGACGTCTCTAAAGTAGACGTGATATCCGGTTGGCTATCGACTGAATGGCGTGTGTACTGCTCACCAGTCCACTCCGTCCTCCTTTATGGCTGTGGGAACTGGCCATTGAGAATGGAAGACATGAAACGTCTGACTAGCTGTCTTTGATCATAGGTGCCTGAGTTCTATCTCCCTTGTGAAGCGGTATAGTAGGGTAAGCAATACTGAGGTTAGGCATCGGTTGAGTGTTAGGTAAGGAGGGGAAATCAATCGACGAGGCTGTGAAATTACATCCACTGAGGTGGTTAGGACATGTGTTATGTATGCCTAGCCATCGCCTTCCTCAACCGACGGGCAATGTTAGCTGATATAGGGTCATGCTGGAAAAGAGCTAGTGGCGGTCAAACGAAAATATGGCCTCATCAGTCAATGAAATCCGCAACAGTTAGTCTAAGCCACGTAGGAAGGTGTAGACTTCCTGACTGGTTGGGGTCCTCGGGACGGTAAAAACCAATGGTTGGAAACAATTGGTGACATGGCTCAAAATCGTTCTCAATGGCTGGTGCAGATGCATCCACTCCTTGTGACTTATGACTTCAAATGAAACTATAACGTTCTTCGTTATTACTATTCCTTTGTCTCACACCTCTGTTTACTGTCTCTAATTTGCGTTTCTTCTACTTTCTTTTCTTGCTTTGTGTGCTACATGGAGGGAGTGTGGCGACTTGAACTCCTGCATACCTGTGCAAAGTTCTATGTTGAAAATAGACAGACAGAAACATTAGCTCGTGAGATCGGTAAGTGACACCTCACACCAAGCCTACTAGTGCAACCCAAACGTGAAATAACAACTTGGGCTAGGGTTCGAGGGTGATACGAAGGAGATCGTGTCAGCTGAGCGCAATCATAAAGCCGAATAAAGAAAGACTGTATGGGACAAGGTGAAATGAATTGGTGCTAGTGAAGTCCAACTTTCTACTCGGAACCGAAAGGAATAATAATAATACTCTATTAACAAAGATAAACTTACCAATCAAACTATAAATTTTACACGGATCTAGTATATCTTCATAATCTTTTAATAATTGTGCAGTTCTAAACGCTCGATTAATTGATCCAGTATAAAGTTGCTTCTCAGCCAGCATAGCATAATGATAGGCTTCAGCGCCTCTCCATGGTTGATCAATAAGTCGGTTGATTTCAGTGGATTTAGTTATCAACTGGATATTTGTCTTCCCTGAAGTATCACCTTTTTCAGCTGATAATTTGTTTCTATTGCCTTTAGTTATTTCACTGTTCTCTAGGATGTCTGATTCTTTGTTGAAGATACTTCCATTCTGTTTTTTGTTGTTTTGTGTATCCAAGTGGTTTACATCTTCATAGTTCAATGAGGTATGTTCTTGTTCAGCTAACAGAAGTCCAGCGAGTGCAGAGCTAGCCATTAATACACCCTATTGTAAATAAGATAGTATCATATTATGCGATAGGAATTTCTAAGCCTGGTAAATTATTTAGTCCTATTTTCTACTCGGAACCCATAGGAATAATAATAATAATAGTAATAATCTACCAACTCAGTTCCAAAGAAAACCTTATTCATGAACTTGGAATTCAAAGGTGATCAAGCTTCAGATATGCTCAAAAACCGTCTCTCTAAAGCAGTCAGTAAGACGTTCTTTGCAGCAAAATTACAAATGACGTTCACCAACCACAAGTTGTTCTCCATCTCTGTAAAAGATAAGCTCCGCCGTCTGGCCGCCTCCATCTGCATTTATCAGTTCACCTGCTCTTGTGGAGCAAAGTACATTGGTCGTAGCCAGAAGACGCTTTCCACACGGATACGAGAACATATTCCAGCATAGTTTTACAAGGGAGAAAGGAAGTATGTGCGAAGCTCTATTTCGGAACACCTGATCGACTTCTGCCACTCTGTCAACCCTGACCATGATCTTAAGATCATATGCAGAATCCATGCTAACTTGTTGGCCGCGTTTTCTTCGTTACAGACTTCTAGACACAGCAGAGACCTTGGCCATTTATGAATTCAAGCCAGACATCTTTGTGTACAAAAGAAGTATGCACAATCCCTACTTCTGCCTTGGCCGTAGAGGGATAGACATTGGTTTATTTATTTTGTTTATTTAGTTATTCTATGTACCTCCCCCTTATTACTATGATTATTGTTATTATTACTATTCTCACTCTGAATTGTTTCCACTTGTCATACTAAATCCAGAATTAATAATTTAATAATAATAATAATAATAATGGCTTTATTCCAAACAGTATTTGTGGTACAGGTATGGAATTTTCAGCGTTCATTACAATATTGCATCTAATTACCTCATAAATTTTATAAGGATTTAGAAATATAAAGCAACAACAACAAAAAGAAAAAGAGAAATAAAAGAAATAAAATAAGAAAGAACAGCACTACATTCACATATTTAAACAGTGCACCACAGGATACGATATATAAAATTAGTCTGTAATAGAATATATGAGCAGCAATATAATAGTAACAAAGAAAGGAGAACAAAAGCTAATGGGAACTATTTGTTAGAGTGCCGCAGTAAATTGATCATGTCATGCCTAACAGTTTTCTCATCACATAACAGCTGTGCCAGATAAGGTATTGTGGAGTTTTTATACTTAGTAGTCCTGGCATATAGCTTCCTATAGTTACTTCTAGTTCTACCAGATGATATGCAAGGAGAGAGCTGTGTATAGAGAGGATGCTCAGGGTCTGACAATATGGTATTCGCTAGTTTCTTACATGACATATTGAATATTGAATTCTATCTTATCGAATTTCATACCATGTTGTGTAACATTTTATATTCGCCTACTAATCCAATAATTATGCACCCCTTTCCAACATCTATACACCTTATGTATTATTCTATATATGACACTAATAGTTTTGCTACTTGACATTTAACTGTGATTATAATCACAAATATTTTGATTGCATTTCATACTTTTATTACTATTATTATTATTTCATGTGTTCACACTTCGATCTAATTCCCTCACCGGATAAAATTTCTTAAAATAACCATATATATACGATTGATTGTACAGCTTGATAATAAATTGGTTGAAAAGAGTCTCTTCGCTGCATATTGTGTTCTTTGAGAACAGATTTCCTCATCGACAAACATTAGTTGGAGAACCACTAAAACATGGGAGTATTAGACAGATGTAGAGAAAGTAGAGAAAGAAATAACAAACTTATTAAAGGATTTGAAGAGTAAGGGGTATATATCACCAAAGACTTTCGAAAACATAAAACCCACAGGCAGCACCATCTCACGCATGTATGGTCTACCGAAAGTGCATAAATCAGGAGTACCCCTACGCCCCATACTAGACATGTCTCATTCACCCTATCACGAGACAGCAAAGTGGCTGGTACAGCTACTTCAACCCTTGCATGACGAGTTAGTAAAGCATAGCGTCAAGGATACCTTTCAATTTATTGATAAGATCAAAAAACTTGAACACAACTGGCAAATACATGGCATCACTTGATGTCTCATCTCTACTCACTAATGTGCCTCTAGTGGAAACCATCGACTATATCTGCGAACAGATTATAGAAAAGAAATTGTGCACTGATATTCCGATTAGTAATCTGAAACAACTACTTGCTAAATGTACAGCAAATGTACAGTTCTTGTTTAATAATGAAATATACAGACAGATTGATGGAGTAGCCATGGGATCCCCACTGGGACCTATTTTCGCGAATATATTTCTAGCAAAACTAGAAAATAGTCCGTTGAAAGAGGAAATAGCAAATATGGAAATGTATTGTCGGTACATGGATGACACTTTTGTAGTGTACGATGAAGGGTTAAGTAGTGATTTGATTTTGAGCAACTTCAATAATGCTCACCCAGCGGTCCATTTCACCTACGAAGGAGAATGCAACGACTCTCTACACTTCCTCGACGTCCTACTAACGAGAAGAGAGGATGGTTCCGTCAAAAGAACCATATTTAGAAAGCTAGAGACCAAAGCTCAGTATACACACTTCCTTAGCTTTGTACCGATGAAATACAAACGCAATCTGATCAGATGCTTAGCATTTAGAGCAAGGTCGATTTGTTCCGAAGACTGTGTAGAGCAAGAACTCCAGGTCATCCGAGACATTCTAAGTGAGAACGGATATCCAGAGAAGTTCATTAAAGCAAACATAGGTTACAATAGCCGTAAACATGAACTGACAACGGTGGAGAAAAAGCCTCTGTTTTTACGTCTCCAATTCAAGGGAGATACTCCTGCGGAGATTCTATCGCAACGTTTAACCAGGGCGATCAAGAAAACTTTCTACTCTGCACGTCTGTGTCTATCCTTCAGTAGCCGTCCAATGTTCACCCAGCAACTCAAAGATGTTTTACCTAATCTTAGCTCTTCTTCATGCATATACCATTTCAACTGTTCCTGTGGTTCAAGTTATATAGGGCGCACGATTAGGCAGGTTCGTCTACGGGTTCGAGAACATTTACCAGCTTGGTTCAGCAGAGGGGAAATTAAGTGCATAAAAAGCTCGATCCTGTCACACTTGGTCGATACTGGACATCATATCGATGTCAACACAGCTTTCAGGGTTATATACCGAATTCCGAAGTCGTTATCACGTACAGTTCGCTTACGTCTTCTACACATAGCTGAAGCTGTTGCAATAAGATCGACTAAACCGGAACTTTGTATCCAAAAAGAACACGTCCAGACGCTGTTCCTACCGTGGTCAAACTTGGATTGATGATTCTTCTTCTCACCAAGAGTGCTCCTTCCCCTTAACCCTCTTGGCTTTTTTTTTCCTTTGCTTATTATTACAATTATTACTATTATTATTATTATTAATATTATTATTATTCGTCATAATTTATGCCCTTCATGCAAGCATTCTCTCAATACTATCGAATTTTTTTTTCGTTTATACTATCCGGACTTATTATTAGTGATATTATCTCTTTTCTCAATATATGCCTCCACCTGTTTCATTTCACATATTCGTTATCTCATTATGAACCTCCCAATGCAGTCTTACTATCTCCTGTTTAACACAGACCACTTTGTACTAGCCACTCACCTGACACCTTTTATAACCTTGAACTGACTTGTCAATTTTCCTACCCCACACTCTACAAATCTATTATGATTAATCACCATTGTCTCCCGTTTTACATTATTTTGTAATCGAATTCAGCCTAGCACGTTTGTCACACAAATACGACTATTTATTTTGACACCCCATAACTAATCTGTTATTCTACGTTAAAAATGTATCTGCCGCATAACTGGCCTTATTGTAACGACAACAAATATTATATTTTATAATTGTAAGAACCTGAAGAGAAATTATTGAAAAGAATATTCTTCGTTCAGATTGACTTTTAATTCATAATATGGGAATTTTCCACACTATCAAATCTTAGACAGATGTTTTGTCCCGGCTTAAGATATTTCAGCAGTGCCAATCCACAACACCAGAGAAAATTACATATGCGTATATATACATATATAGTCGGGTACCATTCAACTGATGGTATGGAATCTAGCGACTCAAAACTAGGACTAAACATCTACTTAATGCTTCATAGTTTTGAATGAATTATAAGTAGTGTTGACTCATGATGAGACGTACATTGATATTGATCTGAATCCCTACTAAAATCTAAAATTCAAATAATGTTCCCCAGCTCATTGATAGTTACTGGATGAATGTCATGAGGCGGTACTGAGAAGTCACAGCCAGTGGGATCCAACATTTCAAGGGGAAGTGGATGATAGCCGAAGGTAGTGGTTGGAGATAAAGCCATATGATGAATGAGCATAAATTGAAGTTCACAGATTATTGAATTCGTATTCAAGTGACTGAGTAGTCAGCTAGCTTGTTCCCAAAACCACTAGGTCATGGGTTCGATTCTTGGTCAGCTCATAAGTGTATATTAGTGATGATTCCCAAATTAGGACGCAACAGCCGTTCAGCGTGAAATATTTTAACACTGATTGATGATAAGAAATAAAGATGATGTTGGAGATATTTTATTAATTGAGAAAGAAAGTTGAAGTACGATAATTATTGGGATTGAACGCACAGGTGACTTTGATCTGATATGATTCTAATCTAACCCTAAACACTACAATTTTCCTATGACCTAAATTTAACTTAACCCTAGCTCTAATGTTTTCTTAACCTAACTCTAAACTAGTTAGATATCTATTTTAATAATCTTATATTTTTTCCATCATTTTTTTTCTAGAAATGTAGTTTCTTTCACCTGGTTTCCCTAACTTATTCTGCTTGTGTGTTTTAGGGTAAGTAGTGCATTCTTTCTTCTGCTTAGTATTCTTTAACTTGATCGACGATTTAACGCGAAGACCTTGATCATCATTCTACAGTATGAAACATACAAAGGAAACATACAGGTTAAGAGTTTTCTAGCCATGATTATGTGCAAAGTGATTATCATTGTCATACAGTTTCGCCTCCATTGGTTTCATGCCGAATGACTATTTCTCTAAAGTATTCTTTTGGTGGGGTGGCTTCTTATTATATTCCGTATTACTCGACGAACTAAGTCCTCACAGTGTGTACAACTGATTAATGTGCGTGGTTGGAGAAACCTCACATCCAGCAGTACTAATCAGCAGTGTCATTTTACATCATATGCTGTGGTTTGAATACTTCTAGTTTTAAAATGAACCCATGGTCATATATCTCATTCTAGAATGCCTAATTTCCAAATAAATAATTAAGACAACACCTGTATTATTGCGTTCTTCTCATTATAAGTTTCCTATATTTTATGTTAGGTGATTGGAGGCAGTTAGCAGTAATCCCTAGACCTTGATTTTACGCTTTTATTAGTAGTTATCACCAAGGAGAATCTACAATCTCAGAGGAACTGGAATCACCGAAGGAGGTTTGAACCGACGTCACTGAGTGCTGTAATCATATGTACTACCATTGAGCTGCTCAGGGTTAGAACTACAGGGAATACATTGATTGTTCACTTGGGAGTAATCCATGTCATGTACCAAGCTCTTGGTATTGGTGCTGACGGATAGCATAACATCGTTTCAAAGTGCATCGCAACCGTGAGTCATCCAGCTTGCCGACCAAATTACAAGCTTGACTAATAGAATTCGGTCAGTGCCAATACTGTAGACCTCATATATGACATCGGTAATTCTGTTGTAGAAAACTAATTTACCTCTACCTGTAGTTATAAAATCAAAAGGGTTAATTGACTTACTTCACCACATGTAGGATTTCTTGGTTTAACAGAAACCTGTTGTTTACTTTGTTCATAATACTGTTCCATTAATAAACCGATAAGTACGTATAATTTCTTCATATGCAACGGTGGTACATTCGGAGATAATTTGGCTTTTTGTGCTTCCTAAATATTAATGCAATAACAAATAAGCAGGAGGAATTGTATAACGGATGAAATAATGTATAGAAAAGCATAAAAAGCCTTTTTTCAGCGGATCTACTAATCCACATATATGGTCAGCGTATTGCTGAAGAGTCCCAAACTAGGCCAACGAAACACCTGTCCAGTACTCCCTTCTGGTTTTCCAATGGTTCTTTAACCAATGTCAGTTCATGATGAAATCCTGTAACCAGTCATAAAATGTTCAATGGATGTGTAAAGGGAAAACTAACACTTTGCGGGGTATTTGTAAATTCGCTTACTTTTATGGGGCTAGTTGCATTGGCAACATATAAACCGCACACTTTCCAAATGCACCTCAGTGCAATATCAGTTATTGATATCAATGAAGCTAATGCAAGCCGATTACTAGTTCTATTCTCGATCATTTGGTGAACTAAATTCAGGCAGCTTCACTACAGTTCTTTCTTAAAGGGATACAAGGCAACGTTATGTTTCTACAGCTGAATATGCAGGAGTCGCCGGAGACTCACTAATACAGCCCTGAACTCTGTGCGCAGATAACATTCGTTCAGTCCCTCATTCTACCATGGTGTTGGACTTTTTTCTACTTGTTTATTCCCATTTTTAGTAAGTAATTCATTCTGATCACTATTACATGTTTCTTTTACACACGCTTATCAAGAGAGCACTCAAATACCTTGCTTAATACGTAAAAACAATTTTCACCCTACCGAATTCCAAGACTCTACTCTCGTTATATTATTGGCTATTATGTAGCATTTTTCTGTCTTCAGAAACTACCTCCGAGTAGCCTTTCGAACGGAATTTGAATCCGTCTTTTACACATAGCCGAAGCTATGGGAATTCATTCGAGAGAACAATCCTAGTCTTTGCATACAAAAGAAGTTTGTTCTACCTCCCTTGGCCTAGGTGAATTCTATTCAAAACCCTCCCACCCTTTCTTATTTTCCATCTCCTTCGTATTTTATGATATTTATTTAAACTCTAATTATCTGTCCACTTCACCTTTTAGGATTTGATCTAATTTATTTATTTATTGAATTGTTTACAAATACACGTATATACATATACTACCTTTAATATCAGTAAAAAGTTTGAGCATTGTGGATTAGATCAAATAAAGTATAATTATATTTTAATAGTTTACACACAATGATAAGTTTTGTTATTGGTAATATTTCGAGCAAAATTACCAATAACAAAACTTATCATTGTGTGTAAACTATTAAAATATAATTATACTTTATTTGATATACTACCTTTGTTATTCTTATCGTCACGTGCATGAACCTTATTGCCAATATTTTGTTATCATTAAAATCATCGTTGTTAACTACGTTCAAAAAATTTACCACATTATTATTATTATTTGATCCACAAAATCACCGTCATTGGTTATAAATTTTTATATATAAATCTATGTAAATTAGAGTTAAGTCTGAAGAAGGCCTAATTGGAAACAACAATATTGTTCGCTTATATGTCTTGTATCAATTATGTTACATGCCGTTCTTATTTACTGAAAGACTGCTGTGCCTTTTAGTAAATACAAATACGACTGTACAGTGTTTCAAGTGATAAATGTAATTATGTGTCAAGTTGAAGGAGAGGAATCTGTTCAAAGAGAATATCAGCCAGGCAGAAAGATAGGTCAAGCTGCATCATTTAAAAAACGCATCAGTTCAATTTTTAATACACAGAGAAAGCATGCAGAAAACAAGTAAACAGATATAGTGCGTTACCGTATCAGACGAAAATGGGGGTACGAGAAATATGTGAGTATGTACAGCTCATGAAAGCTCCACTAAACGTTACTCATACATAGCCACTATTCCCTCACAAATGACTTACTTGCTAGAAAAAACATTGGTTTGAAAAAGAAACCTACTTAGGAATGGTTGAACTAAACAATATTACACATACTGGGAAGCTGGGGAAATATTGCTGTAAATACATTTAATCCTACTCTAAAAATATAGTGGAAATATGTGGATGACACTTTCACAGTGTTAAATACAGAACATATCTCTAGCTTCTTGATACATATAAACTCACCAGTGGAGTTAATAAAATTCACATTTGAATCAGAAAATGAACAAGGAGAATTAACTATGTTAGACTGCAAAATAAAACGAATAGAAGAAGGTAAACTGCACACTAGTGTTTATAAAAAACCAGCGCATTCTAATATATATTTAGACTTTAATTCATCTCATCCTTTAACTGTTGAGGCAGGCTTAGTTAAGTGTCTAACAAACCGAGCAGTTGCACTAAGTAGCACAAAAAAAGACCTAAATGATGAAATAAAACAGATAGAAGAATAGCTGGTTGGTGTTGAATAACTATCCTGTAAAATTCATTAGGAATATCAAAAATGGTCAAAAGCAAAATAAAAATAATGGTGAAACTAATAATGACAACATACATTAGAGAAAATATAAGTCATCTACTGTTATACCACATAAGGAGGGGACATCTGAGATGCTATGTAGGATTCTTAATAAAGCAGGAATTAGGGTGGCATTCTAACCTACAAACTCACTCAGAGACAAGCTGTGTAGGCTAAAAGACCCGGTGGACCCAATTAAATAAAATAATATAATTTACGAAATACCCTGCAATGACTGTGAGGTCAACTATATAGGTCAGACTAGTAGATCGGGGGTAATCAGATTGTCGGAACATAAGAATTTAGCTACGTGTAGACTGACTGACCTCACGAAGGTAAGTAATTTAGAAAAAATCTCAGCAGTTGCACTGCATGCATTAACACACAGCCATACAAAAGGGTGTGAGAGGGTTAAGATTCTAAGAAGTAATCTATATAGGTGGAGAGAGAGATTGGTTACTGAATCCTGCCTGGTTCATCGAGTCTACACCGAACACACGCAACAGCACTGACTCAATGCAAATACCAGAGATTTGGAAGATATTATTACCACCAGTCAGTCAAATCAGAGAAGGATAATAAATAATGTTAAAATGTATTTCAGTTCCCGTTATAACATGCTAACAAGTTACTCATTATTTTTGCTGTAAAAAACATCTTATTTCCCATCTGGTTGTATTTGATCAATAACACTCATATTATTATCTCCGAATGTACTTTTTCTTATACTGATTTTATTCAAATGTCTAGTCATCAATTCCGCTCATGTATATAAATGAAGCAAAAAGTTCTGTGAGTAGTTCCTTGATATGATTATGAGCAATAGTTTGTGCTCGAAACTTCACCACCACTTAATATTACTGTATAACACTGCACTGTGTGATTTATCAAAATAAAATCTTATCCATAATGGAGTTTTCCTGGGCAATAAATCTGAATTTTACAATCAGATATAAAGTGCGTGATTAAAATTCAAGAAAAAAACAAATGATATGGCTTGAAGATATTCACACTGTCCCATATGTGTTCACTTTCCCTTTATATATTACCTCGTGAATGCTAATGATAACAGGCGCTAACCCTGCCACTAACCGATTAGGTAGTATTGTCTTTGAAAAACTTCACACTTCAAATACTCCATCTTGTTACCTAAATTTTGTTTGTATTGTTTTCTAGGCCGGTAAAAGTCCTTCACTTTTCCAGTATTTCCTACATATCCAGTAGTGTCAGTTTTCCGTATTTGAAAGATGTTCACACCAAACTATTTTCGATCAGATAGTGAAATTTATTCTAGTGCTCACTAGTGAATGATTACACGATGAAGTTCTCTGAAGCTCTGATGAGAAGCTGTGACCAGTAAAGTTCACCAAGTTTGTTGTGAGGATAAGCACTCGCCAATGACATTGGCTCGCAGTGTCAGAAATTGGTAGAAGTTACAATTCCATCCCAGTGACTGAGCGGTCAACGGGGCCACCATTTAAACTGAAAGTGTGAGGACAAACACTCTCCGCAAATGACACTTGCTAGTGGTCGCGCTATATCGTGAATTCGCAGAAGTTAGAATTCATGCGATGGCCATTGGACCAGGTCCCAGCGACTTAATGGTCTACGACCTCTCCTAGTAACCGGTAGGTCCTGGGTTCGAACCATGGTGGTGGGTGTGTACTACTGAACTGTCCCAAACTAGTCTTGCGAAACATTTGTCCAATGGTTCTCTAACCGATGTCAGCTCATGATGAAATCTTGTAACCTGAAGGTCGCAGGTTTTATTCCTCGAGGTGCATAGTGATGAAGAGTCCCAAACTAGGACGAAATAGCTGTCTAGAACTTCCAGGTTTTCAGTGGTTCTTTAACTGATATGAGTTCGTGGTCTATCTTATATTTAAATCCATTTAATTAAAAGTAGCTGGTATGAAAAGATCGAAATATATCAGAAAGCAGTTGGCTTTTCGTTTCTTCAACTGTTTTTCTCACTCTACGCATATTTATTCATAAATTAAATTTTTTTCAACACTTATTGACAGTGATAAGAAGTCTGAGACAAGTACTTTAAAGGAAGAAAAGTAGTAGTTAGCCGTGAAGTCATGACTTATGCATGTACTGACATGGTAACCTTATTGGACAGTCTTGATTCGTTTATTTGTGGCTCAACTTTCTGAGGATTTTATCTGATAAAGGTGTTCGTTTCGGTTGTTACTTTTCTTAGTCTGACATTTGTGTTTATCTTATTGTGGAGGGTATTCTCAGTCAGTTTTAGTGTCGTGTTCTGAAGGCGCATTTTAGTCAAGTCAGAGGGACCCGCAACCCGGTACCACTTCGTCATTACATAATAATCATAAAAACAATAATAATAGTGATAATTAAATTATTCTCTCCTTACACAATTTACCTTATACAGTAATTCAGAAGCTTCTAAAAATCGTCCGGCACGTTTGTATAATTCAACAGCTTGGATAACTCGACCTTGTTCAATAAAATGGTTGATTGTTTGACTTAAAGAGTTATCGATCTTTTTCTGTTGTTGTTGTTGTTGTTTCAAGTATAGGTGCTGTTGTTGTTGTTGATGCTGCTGCTGGTGGTTTTCATTGTCTTGTGTATCTAAACGTTTAGCTAATTCATAAGCTACTCGCCAATGATTAAGTCGTAGGCAGATATCGATTGCTTCTTTACGACGATTACACTAGAACAAGAAGAAATATATGAGAATAATATTAAATATGGTTGAAATTACGAAAACACTATTCATAAGTATTATTTGTCGTCGATGCACTGGGGACTGATGACAAATACTATACAGGTGTGCAATGTGAGGCAGATATAACACATTAGAATGTATCAAATAATGGACAATAATAATTGATTTCATAATACAACAATTTAACTGCTCCTGTGGAGCCAGTTAGCTGCTTAGGCCATACAATTAGGTGTGTCTCTCGTCAAATTTCCGAAAATCACCCTGCCTGGTTAAGCAAAGGACAAACAAAATCCATTCGCAGCGCTATTCCGTCTCATCTTGTGGATACAGAACACAAGATTGACGTTAACCATGCTTTCAGGGTCATTTACCGCATACCAACCAACTAATCTCAATTTCGCCTTAAGAGTTCGACTACTAAATATTGCTGAGGCTGGCTGTTGGGATCCATATTAACAAGCCTAATTTGTGCATCCAAAAGAAGTTAGTTCAGACATTATCCTTACCTTGGCCATCTAGGTTTCAATGATCCTGAATTTTTGTGGAAATTTTCTTAATTTTAGCTGATACTCTGTTTGCTAATATATCTTTGTTATTATTACAATTTAAGCATCTTTAATGAACTGTAATTCCGTTGTGATCTTACTTTACAAATCGATATTATTTTAAAAGAACACTAATATTGTTATTGACTACTAATCTAGAATATTCTATGTATACAAATATATATAAATATAATTGTAGAGCCAGAAGAGGAATTTATCGAAAAGGATATTCTTCGCTCAATTATTTTGTGTTTTATAGATGTTTGGATGAATATTTTTGCTATGTTCTTATTATTGCTTAATAGAACAACAGATCTCTTGAAGAATAACCATCTTTTTACTGTCTTTGGAATGTTTCGTCACTGTGTGTGCCTCAAGGAAGTTTTGTCAGCCACACAGTAGGACTCAAAGACTGGCTTCCCGAGCTCAGACCACAACGAGTTGGTTTTAGTGGTAACAGCAACTAGGGAAGAACTCCGTCAATAAAATTAAGTCAAAATATGATCGGTAGGTGGATAAATTCTACTGGGGAGATTTAAATTTTCACTTCACATTCAGGCAATACGCCATTAAAATTTCTTTCATTTCTGACCGCCAGTCTGTTGATCACTTACTGCTCCCAACTAATATGCCCCTACCTCCATTAAATAGATAAAAAGAGACTCTAGAAAACTAACCTTTAATAATGCGAACACAGCTTGTTGTATCATACCGAGGCTGGCAAATCTTAAACCGAAATCGTATAAAGCGCTGTGACCTTCTGGCATTTCTTCTATGAGTTTTTCAATCGCCTGATAATCTTCCAATTGGTATAAACATTCAGCAAATTTAATAAGATCATCTCCTTGCCGATAGTAACTGGCTGCTTTATCCCTTGATAAAAAAAAGATAAAATTAGTATAAAATACTGAAGAAGGGCGCGATTACTCGTTATAATACCATCAGCTTTTATTCAAAATAAAAGTTCCATTGTTATATGCTAAAGAAGAAAACACAAATGAATTTTTTCATAATTGCCTTAGTTAATAAGTCTATTATGTAGATTGATTTTAGCCGTAACAGACAATCTATCAAAATGTTTAAAACCAAAATTCAATTCAGAAATTTTAGATTACAAAACACTAAATAGGGTGACTAGGCTGATAGTGATACGTTTGTATGCACAAAATCGATTTCATGCGAATTATTGATAATTTAGGTGATTAGAGATAAGATCAACAATAATGTTAAGTTATTGTCTTCATACGGTTCACAGATTTAGTGTAGATCACCAAGAGTATTTCGGACACATCAGACCATCGAGTGGAACCCAGATGGGAAGCGAATAATTGAGTGACTGGTTTCAACGTCCAACTTTGTACAGAAGTGCATCAGTTCGAGCTTTCACACTCCCTCCATGTAGAAAACAAAGCAACAGAAGAGATTAAAGGGAGATTCAAAAGAGAGATAATAAACAGAAGTGTGAGGGAGAATAGTAATATGGGAGAACAGCAGAGTTTTTTTGGATATTAAAAATCACTCACACAGAGTGAATGCATCTGCGCCAACCATTCAGAACGATTTTGAGACATTTACCAATTGTCTCCAGCCGTCATTGGTTCTTAGCATCCAAAGGACCGCAACCAGCAAGTCTCAATCTCCCTATGTGGCTCAAACGAACTGCTGTCGATTTCATTGATTGATGAAGCCATGTTTCGGTCTGATCACCAGCTCTTCTCCAACCTAGTCCATCCTGTGTCAGCCAACATTGCCCGTTGAGGAAGCGGATACCTAGGCATACGTAACACATGTCCTAACCACCTCAATCGACATAGATTCACAACCTCTTCGATTGATTTCCTATCCTTATCTAGCACTCGATTGAGGCCTAACACCAATATTGCTCACTTTATTATACCACTTAACACGGGAAATAGAACACGCACACATATGCTGAAAGATGGCTGGCTAGCCTCCTCGTGTCTTCCACTTTCAATGGCCATGTTCCGCTCACATCCATAAAGGAGGACGGTGTGAACTGCTGAGCATTACGAATGCCCTTCGGTCGGCAGTCAGCCGGATATCACGTCTACTAAGTCAGAGATGGCGTAAGTTGGCGTATGCTAAACGGGCCTTCTATATCCGTGCTGAGATTTCATCAGAGATCAACCGATTGGCACTGGCTGATGCAACTTCCCAAACCACTTCAATCCCTACCTTCAAGCTAGGAGCAAGTCGATGCAGTTCATTCCTGTAGTTTCATCATCTTACATTTGACGGCAGCTAATCGCATGCCAAACATTCGAGAATTGCTTTCTGATCAAGATGTTCAGAAAACTCTGCTCCACTTTGTCAGCGTGTTCACCCAGTTGGGAGGATTATACCATCTGCATATCTTAAGTCAACAAGATTATCCCCAGGTAACAAGTCAATCTCTGAGTCGCTGAAGTCAGATAGGGTTAATTCCATTATTACGATATCTATGATGAAATTAAACAGAAATGGGGACAGTGAGCGTCCCTGATGGATACCACTAGTTGTCACCACTCCTCTGATGACAACTATCCGTAGGCTCTCACTTGGCAACCAATTAAGAATGTGTCTGAGGATCAGGTTAAGAGGATTTGAGAACCTGTGGACAATCACAGAGTCAGCTAATAAAAGCCAAGAGATGTGCTTTTGAAGCACCATGTTCCCCTCCGAATCCATAGGACGAATAATAATAGTTGTAATCGATAACTTAGAAACTAAAACAAATATATACATATATCCTTAGATCGTCTTACTACATCCTCTTTGTTAGTTCAGACCAACATTATTTTGTCCCATCTGCTTGTACTCTCCTTGTGAAGGAAAGTGAGGAGAGACATCTTGTTATGATAAAGCAAAACACAGAACAAAAGTGGATCGTTTCAGTTTCCAACAGTATAAGATTATGAGAAGAGTAACGAAATAAGAAGAAATATTATGCTCATTTGGGAAAGCGAGTTCATATCAGAACGGCAACTCATAGTCATAGCGAATTATGTCGACTAAATTCTCCGATAACTTGAAATACACACAAAAACGTTAATAAGCATGACCGATTCGTACAATTTAAACATTTCTAATCAATAAAACAAGAAAGAATAATCACAATTCACTTACCATAACATTTGACTGAAGAAATGATCACCCATAGCATTCCATATTTCAGCTTGTTCAATATCCTTTACCAGGATACCAGTATCTTTAGTTAACTGTGCTACACGAAACCAATCACCCAGACGTTTTCTTAACTCCACAGCTAAATCAGGACGATCATTTTTCAGTAACAGCGTTTCAGCTTCATCATATCTTTTGAAGTAAGCACTAATTTCAGCCTTTTTTAAAAGAAAAATTTCGAAAAAAAAGATTAATATTTAGCCTTTATAAAGTAGATTTACAACATAAAAATTAATTCCAGTTAAATATGATTATTTTATTCTAATGTTTATTAGGTCACTTCTTCTATATGCGTCAGAAACTTGGTGACCGTGTCATCAGAAGCAGCTCCAACAAGCTGCTGAGGACTTTCATCAACAGTTACCTTCAGCGACTCGAGACTGATTATCAAATTGCCGGCCAGAGAGAATTAGCTACAAGAAACTCTGGTAACAGGCTAACCAAGAGCCGATTGTTGAATAAATATGTAGAAGAAAATATAGATGGACTGGGCATGAGTTGAGGAGGCCACCAAATGACATCGCGCGCGATGCGGGCCATTGATCTTGTGGAATCCCGATGGCAAGCGACGAGCGGGTCTTCAGTGAGAGGGTAACATGGTAGAGATCGTTTGGGCTCGAGAAGGAGATGAGACATTATGGTCAATCATGAGCCCGGATGAATAGAACAGCAGAAAAAAGGACAAAGTAGAGATATGCTGTTAAAGCTCAATGTTCCACTCCAGACCCAGCGAAACAATAATAATAATTGTTGTTTCATACATGTATTCCCCTTAATGAATTTGAATAAAGCAAGAACAACAGTTTTTCCAGAATAAAATGGTACCATCATTGCTTATTTCGTTGGCTTCTCATCAGCTGCTTACAGCCCAAGGATATTATTAAGTATATCTACAGAAACAATTTTAACATACTTGGACATAGTTCATTTTTAAACAGAAATCAATCAATCAATATATGTATACAGTAATACCTATATATTAAACATTATTCTGAACAATAATGATCATACACAATAGAAATTTTTGACATCACGTAATCAGATGAAACAGAAGGTGAAAATATTCAGTTACCAGGACAAAGAAAGACTGATAACTGCTTCTTTCTGAACGCATAAATCAGGTTTCAGGAGCTTGATGGAGATCGCTTTGGCAAACTTCAGGAGAATTCAACTTTTTTGCTTGTTGATAATTTTGAACGATTTTGCGATGTCCACCTCATGACCCGTATCAAGGAGATGCCTGGCGATGACACGTTTTAAAGCATTTTTTCCCTTTAGACATAAGCTTTTTGGTACACGTTCAGAAAATCGTAGGTACGACCTTCTTTCTGTTCTTCCAATGCAACTGTTCCCGCAGATACATGTAAATTTGTATGCACAATGGTAGTTAACATGAGAAGAATATTCATCGATTTTTAATTGCACCAAAGAGCATGTTGTTCGATAGACGGGAACGAGCTTAGCTGCAGATTAGGCTCTGGCTAGTGACTTCCTCAATCTTCTGTTGACAATTGCCTTAATATTTTCACCTTTATAATCAAGTTGAATGTAGATGGGCTTTTTCTCCACTGTGATTTGTTTGACGTCAACACTGCAAATCAATACCTCATTTCTCCAACGTCATATTCTAAAATCCTCTCTGAAGAGCATCAAAGAGCATTGAAAGCTTTTGAGAATAATGACAAAATTGTTATATTGCAACCTGATAAAGGCTCAGGAGTGGTACTGATGGATAAAGATGACTACATCGCAAAGATTAAAACTGTGTTAAATGACCCGTCGAGGTTTAAAGTTGACAACTGCCAGAAAGATAAGACAGATACAGTCGAAAAACGTATCACAAACGCACTCAGAGATCTTCTAAAGAAGAAACTGATTGACAACAATACGTACAATGATTTGAAACCCCGAGGGTCCCACTGGCCACAAATGTATGGCCTTCCAAAAATACACAAAGAAAAAGTTCCCCTGAGATCTATACTTTCGATGATCACTTCGCCCAAACATAAGGTTGCTCGTTGGCTTGCGGAGAATTTGGAAGCTACTCGTCAACGGCTAGCCTTGCACACCATTAAAGACTCATTTCACTTCACTGAAAGTGTGAACCACATGAACGTTTTAAATAAGTTCGTGGTGTCGTTTCATGCAACCTCCTTGTTCACAATGATTCCAATCAATGAAACTATTGAAATCATTTGTCAGCAGTCTGATCTTCTCCCACTGCCAGAGTCGGAATTCAAACGCCCACTGCTAATGTGTACCATGGATGTGCAATTCCAATTTGACAACACTCTTTACCGCCAAATAGATACATGGTGTAGCTATGGGCAGTCCACTTAACCCTGTTTCAACAGATATATTCATGTCCAAACTTGAAAGAATAAAGTTGAAGCATACAATCGACGAAACAACTTCTTACTGTTGATATGTTGATGACACATTTATAGTGTGCAACAATGAAAGTCATGCTTCCCACTTAATCAGATTATTCAATGACGCACATACCAATATTGAATTTACTATGGAACATGAAAGTGATAGAAAGTTTCACTTCTTCGACATTGCTAAGCAACGCCTAGAAGATGGTAGTCTTCAAAAGTCAATTTACCGAAAGCTTACTTGGAAAGATTCCATTGTGTATGATTTTTATTGTTTGGGATAAAGCGATTATCACTATTATTAGCACTGTATGCATATATTGATTAACTGATTTTCGTTTAAAAATGAACTCTGTGCAAGTATCTTAAAATTGTTTCTGTAGATACACTTAATAATGACTTTGGGCTGCAAGCAGCTGATGAAAGGTCAACGAAATGAATGATGGTACCATTTTATTCTGCGAAAACTGTTGTTCTTGCTTTATTCCAAATTATTGGTAAGCTGTCTGTAACTTATTAAACTCAGTTTTTTAGAACCGGTACTGCGTGTTTCTTAAAATTAACAGGCTTTATGGCAAGACAAAGTGCAGAAATTAAGCATCACTTTCAATAATCAGAGTAAAATTCCGAAGTTTCTCTTTCTCTCAGTAAACAAACCGGCTATGTGTATTATCAAATATTTAGTTCCATTGCATTTCTGTTCATTTCAAACAGTTACACTCAGTCCCCCTGAACTTATTGCTGACGAAATCTTATGTCTAAAGAAAAAGGGCATTCAGTATTTCCTAACCTGTGTTATTTATAACCTGGACATGACATTTAGCTGTCCATTGAAGGACGGATGCACTGTACAGCAGATCATAACGACCTTCTCTACGGCTGAAAGGCAAAACGGTTGAAGATAGGAGATATGAAGAATTTAGGAAATTTCATCTGAGTTCAGTAATATCTGTTAGGTGGCATAATTTGGTAAAAAATATCAGAGTCAGACGTAGAGTACTAGAAAAGAAAGGAAAGTCAGTACATGAGGTTGTGAATATTCACCGACTTAACTAACTAGAACATTTGTCAAGTGTGCCAGGCCACCACCTTCTTCACTGAGTAATGTAAGCTGAGATTGGATTAAGTTTGGAAATGGTTACAGGTAGCCAGACAAAAATATGACTTCTATTCATGAGGCCTTTAACTGCTGGCTCGGACCATGTAGGAAGTTTCCGACTAGCTTACTGAAACCTTCGGGAAGCTATGGACCAATGATTAAAGACTATTACTGAAATGGCTCAAAACTGTCTGCAGTGATGCAAGTGTATTCACTCCTTGCCACCTTCCAGATTCTAAAACTCCTCATTAGATTCCATCTGGTTATTTCCTCTGTGTAGTACATCTCCCGTTTCATTTCCATTACACTATTTTCAACTAATTCAATGTCTTCTCTTGTCTGTCTGTCGTCAGCGATCAACCCATTGAGGCTGATGGTACTTCCCAAATAAGTGAAGCGATCAACGTGCTCTACCACTTCACTCCCTATTTCTAAACTAGGAGTCGGTGTAGTCCAGTCCTCTAATATCATCTAACATTTGACGGGAGCGAATTGCATGCCAGATATTCGTAGATTGCAGCTCAAGGTGTTCAGAAGACTCTGCTGGGTTTTGTCAGCGTCCTCGCCTAGAAGGACCATATCGTCTGCATATTCTAAGTCAACAAGATTATTCCCTGGTAGCAAGTCGACCCCTGAGTCGCTGAAGTGAGTTAGGGTTAAATCCGTTAGTATATCTATGATGAAATTGAATAGAAATGGGGATAGTGGACATCCGTAACGGACACCACTAGTCGTCACCACTTCAGATGACAACTCGCCATAAGCCCTCACCTGGATGCACGAGTTCGAGTAGAGTGCCTTAATCAGTGCAATATATTTTCTCGGCATTCCCTTTACAGCCAAGTATCGCCAGAGTACCTCTCGGTCGACAGAATCGAATGCCGCCTTTAGGTCAAGAAATATAACGATTGTTTGATGCCGGTAAGAATGCCTATGTTCTAGAATCTGTTGAAGGGTGAAGATATGATCAATACACCCTCTTCCTGGTCTAAAGCCTGCCTGTTTCTCTCGTGTCTTCTCTTGCAAAGTGTGTCATCTTGGACTTGGCATGTTTTTGAAAAATGCTGTGGTAATAAATCAGTTAGATAACTAGTGAGTAACATCCGGTTGTTTGAAGTTTCTCAACCTCAATCAACTCATACTACAGTAAGAGAACAGCTACTGAATATCATCCTGTTATTGAAGAATCATTGTTTAGGACGAAACCATTGAATATGTAATACAGAATAACAATTTTAGAAAAAAATAGTTGAGCAAAGGATGCTTAAACACTGAGAATTTACTTTTCTAATTAATTTTGATTGAATATTTCTCAGTTTTTTAATAAATTGTATTCCAGAGTATTCTTGTAAATGTACAAATTGTAATTCGGCCATATCCAAGTCTTGTTTCTCTAAACAAGCTTCAATTAATAAACGCCTTTTGAAAAAAGGGAAAATTCACATAGAGTATAATCAGTATACATATGCATCAGAGATTTAGTTAGTTTATATAAGTTATACAACTTTTGATGTACATTATTGTCAGCAGAGAAATAACCTCTTCTGATTGGTTGTCTTCTTGCTCAAGGTTATTCTGTACTGCTCATGACCGTTTCTTAGAAAGTTAGGCCACATATCTGCGAATCGCATTTGTACACGTTAAGTCGGCTGTGATTGGTTGGTGAGTTCCTCAACGTTAAGCTTTGTTAGTGTTTTTTCTCATGTCCCCGATTCGTGACTTAACATTGACGTAACTTGCTGTCTACAACTTTGGCTTGTAGCCAGCTCTCACTACAATAAGTCAATCTCGGTGTAGAATGTAAGAAGGATACAAACATAAATGCTTCTACTTATCGCGCATACACCTGAATATGGCGTCAGTTAAAACCGATCAAAAGTAGGAACGTCTCAGAATAAAAATGAATGAAATTTGAAAAGAGATAATAAATAATGTATAAGACATTTACAGTTTTACCACATAAAGAGGTGACATCTGAGATCCCACTTGTAAGATTCTTAATAAAGCAGGAATTATGGTGCCATTTAAACCTACAAAATCACTCAGGTACGACAAGCGTTGTAGATTAAAGGATCCTGCCAGTTGACCCAATTAGACAAAATAATATAATTTACAAAACACTTTGCAATGACTGTGAATTAAGTCAACTACATAGGTCAAACTAGTACATCAGTAGTAGTCACATTGTCAGAACATTAGAATTTAGTTAAGGTTAGAATGATTGATACCACTCGCGAAGATAAGTAATTTAGAAAAAGCCTAGCAGTAGCACTGCATGCATTAACACACAACCACACAAAAGGGTGGGAGAGAGTCAAAATTCTAAAAAGTAATCAAGGTAGGTGGAAAATCAGTTCAAAGAAATTTTAATGCTGGTGAACTACACGTATTATTCTCTACACGACCGATGGTGCTACCTTGACTGAAAGATGAAGTACCTAGACTAGCCACTTCAAATTGTATCTATCAATTCAACTGAGCTTGTGGAGCGAGTTATATTGGCCGTTGATCTAGGAACTTGATTTTTCGTGCTCGAGAACATATCCCACTATGGCTAAGTAAAGGTGTAGTTAAAAGTATTAACAGCTCGATATTAGACCATCTGGTGCAAACCGGTCACAAAGCCAGCATTGAAGAATCCTTCTCTATAACATACCGGGTGCCTAACAAATTACCAAAATCGTCGAAGCACTGCATGCTCCAAACAGTAGAGGCTATTGCAATTCGCCTCAAACAACCAGTGCTCTGTGTTCAAAAGAAACAAGTCCAGCCATCCTCTACTACTGCCGTGGCCCTCAGTAGAAACTATTAACTCATGAACTTGTAATATTATATTTCCTAATTTTTCTGACACTCACTTTATTGATATGTTGATGCTATTGAGCTGTAATTTATCAATATTATTGATTCGATGTTATTTAAACATTAGTGTCGTTCATAACGCTAATTCATTCGCCATAATGTATATATAATTGTAGAGCCTGATGATGAATTTATAGAAAGGAGTACCCTTTTTTCAGTATCCATTCTTTTGATTACGGAATCCTGGTTCATCGAGTCTACACTCAAAACATGCAGTAGGAATGACTCACCTCAAATACGAGATAAGGAAGATATTATTACCACCAGTCAAATCAGAGGATAATAAATAATGAATGTTCCATTTTTTATCATACTATAGCCGTAGAAGATGAGAGACTTGGTTGAGGATTGTTTATTTGCAATTCGGTATCTTTATCTAGCCAAATTATAAACACATTATCTTCGACGCACTATTTCCACAGAACTCCCGTGTTGTGATACTTTTGGCCTTCCATCGTATTGTGTATGTGTTTCTTTGTGTTCCTTTCATGTCTCTCATGTATCTCCACAACGCTGTATCATTTACTTTCTCAGACGTCAAATCTATCTCCGTGTTGTTTGATATTTTTATGCCGATGAACGTCTGTTTATACACATATACTACTGATAAATCTTATCAGTAGCACATACCTCAACTCGTCATCTTACAAATTCAAAGGTGTTAATTCACAGTAGCATATGCAGTGTATCAGATGCAATCCAGTAATGGTCTTACTTTTTACTGTTTTTTTTAATTAAAATATTAATAAGAGTTATAAACAGTGACTAACGAAACTACAGTGAATATTGATCAGGTGGACAAGTAGTACAAATTTATTACTTTATTTGTGCATCTGTTGGATTTTCAAATCGATTAATAAGAAAACAGGCAGATACCTCTGATTCTTTACATCAGTTGCTTTTGAGTTATGCTATGAAGGCGCTAGTTAAAATCATCTGTTATTTGTAAGTTGATCAATATTTTAGCGGTAAAAACAAGGTACAGTTACAAATACTTGCCGAATACATTGGCTAGAGGTCGCGCTATGTCGTAAAAATTGACAGAAGTTGGAATTCATGCACTGGCCATTGAATCGGGTTGGGTCCCAGTGGCTTAATGGTCTATGAGCTCGCCTTGTAACCAGGAGGTTCGAACCCCGCTATATGGGCGCGTACTGATGAAGAGTCCTAAACTACGATGAAACAGGTGTCCAGTACTCCCTGGTGGTTTTCCAGTGGTTCTCTAACCAATGTCAGCTCATGATGAAATCCTGTAACCAAATATAATATGGTTCTAAATACTCTGTGGTATAAGCAAAAGATTGAAATCAGGCTGCCAAAGAACAATTTTCAGCAGTTCAATCTAGTTTATAAAGTGTGCTGTAAATTTTGACTCTTATCTATCATAATCATGAATTGAGACAAGAAGGCAAAACAACAGTTCATTTCTAATCACGTATCATGGAATGTGTCTACTTCCGTGACTGTGATATTCAATTCCCTTATTTTTCCATCGGCTTAACACTGGTCTGTTAAACTAAAGACTAACTAATACTGTCTTAATAAAAGTATCTTTCTTCAGCAATTATACATATATGATATTATTCCCTAGGGTTCCGAGTAGGACAAAGAGGTTCTCTAGCACATCTCAGTTTTATCCTGCTCTTTCTCTCTAGTCCTCTTCAGCTGACTCCACAATTGCCTACAAGCTCTCATCTCCTCCTCACACTATCTGTTCCATACCACTCTCAAACTGCCTACTTATCATTTCCCATTCGGGTTCCATTTGAAGGCCTGGCGTGTGATGTCACTTAACTGTCTCCCCAGAATTTGTCCGATCTATCGCCACTTTCTTCAACATAGATCTTTAGCAATATCACCACTAAATTTCACCTTAAAACCTAAATCTCATAGGGTTAACATTATCGGTTGTATAAAAAATTAACCAATATACTTGTTTAGACTTTCTTCTATCCCCTCATGCACTGAATGTATATCTGAAACGTTACGGAGTATTAATCATAACTAATGTTATGAAGAAAAAGAAGAATGTGAACACTACTTAGCATATCCACTATCTTGAGACTGTGTATCTCTTCGAGTTTGTGAAGACAAATGGAAAATGCCACCAATTCCAGACTACAGAATAATTAGTTAGTTTACATAATAAGCATCAGTTATACAGCCATCTTCTTTAGTTTACTTCTGAGAGAGAAGCCATAATGGATAAATATCAACATGGGAACCCCGGTGGGTGCGTACTGATGAAGAGTTGCAAGTACTAGGATGACACAGCTTTCCAGTACTCCCTGGCTGGTTTTCCAGTGACTCTCTAACCAATGTCAGCTCATGATTAAATCTTGTAACTAATCAATCAAATCCCTAGAAAACCAATACTTGAATATCAACATTTTTCCGTATGTCTTACCTTAATTTAACATGTGGATTGTTAGTGATAAATTCTGCAGCTTTCTCAAAACCATCTTTTTCGAGTATTTGTTTAAAATCTCTAACTTTCTAAATGAAAGTAAAAAGGAGAATATCAGTTATCTGCAATAGAAGAGTTTGTAGTAATAATAATAATAATGTATTCCGGATAGATAAATAAGGTTATTTTGTCGTTTTGTTTAATATTTTATTGCAGTATGAATACGGACCAATAAAGGACGTTAAATCAAAAAGCTTAGGATCCCACTGACATCATTCAATTGGGCACTGCATGTGAGTAATTAATGTCATCTGTCTAATTCTTAGTGTTGGTGCTGTCTGGCTTCTATCAGTCAAGTATGAGATGGCTGATACACCACCGTGATGCAATTTTAATAGATATTCAATGACTGGGTTCAAATCTCAAATGATGGGTGGGGTGTGAAGAAATATCACATCCTTTGAGGTCGCAAATACACCATGCTAGCAAGTGTCTATATGCATGATGCCTAACTCCATGAAACACAAGCAGACCAAATCACACGCACAATGTGAATGCCAATTACAACTTCATGTATCAATAAATAGGTCATGTCCATAATAATAAGAAGAAGAAATGATTGCGATTCTTTGGTTGCCAGAACCTCAGTTAGTGGTCAGTTTTTAATACACTTCCTCTGCTTTCGGTAACTGTTGATTCTCTGTATTATACAACAAGCCTCATGTCTACTGTTAGCAGACTCCTCAGTTAACATGCTATTTAATTTAAGCCACATTCACCATTTAACCAACCCTCCCCCCACCGTCACTCAGCCTAATATTAAAGTTTAGAGGTACCCACCATGGTAAATCATGTTTAGGATGCCAATTATTTACTTTGGTTGACAAAAGTCTACACTCCTTCTGTCATACTTAATTTACATAAAGCACAAAAGAATTGAGCAAAGAATATCCTTTTCGATAATTTCCTCCTCTTCTGGCTCTACAATTACATAAATATATGTTTATATGCATAGAATATTCTAGATAGATATTCAATAATAATATTAGCGTCTTTTTTAAATAATATCGATTTGTAAAGTAAGATCACAATGGAATTACCACAGTTCACTAAAGATGCTTAAATTATAATAACAATAATGACGATATAATAGCAAATAGAATATCAACTAAAATTAGGGAAATTTCTACAAAATGATGAGGATCATTGGAACCTAGGTGGCCAACGAAAGGATAATGTCTGAACTAACTTCTTTTGGATACACAAATTAGACTTGTTAATATGGATCCCTACAGGCAGCCTCAGCAATATTTAGAAGTCGAACTCTTAAGCCACAGTTAAGATTCTTTGGTATGCGGTAAATGACCCTGAAAGCATGGTTAACGTCAATCTTGTCTTCTGTTTGCATCCACAAGATGAGATAGAATAGCATTACAAAGGCTACAGTGGAAATTATAATTACTTATTCTTCAATCCAGACTCAGGTTATAAGTGCAATGAAAACTATTTACGATCCATTACTCTCATACTTCATTTGACTACATTGGCCAGGTGCATCAGAGGCGCAGAATACGACGTAATGAATACGCAAATTCGATATAACACACAATAATACAATAATGACAACAGAATGACGTTTTGAGCATAATTTACTATCTATGAGGAATACGCTGTACATCGATGGTTCAATAGTAGTATGTAAAACAATCTCCTGGAGGGTTTGGCTTTGATTACCGACCAAGATGACCCTAGACCATCTAGTTTTCCAGCCTGTAGCAAGCCCCAAAAAGCGAGAATGTTAACAGTGAGGTTAGCAATCAAACTCAATAAAAAATCAAATCCACCAGTATATCTTTTTAAATCAATTAAACTTATTTAATATGGAATTATATTCTCTTTTTTTATTCCTTCACGTTCCCAGTGGAACATAGGGCTTCAAGCTACAAGCTTGAAGTTTCTGTAGCAGTGTTTATTTTGACAGGATGGGGTTGTTAGCCGAACCTTTCCTCTTTACCAGCTTTTATTTCTGGTTTAGCGAGGTAAAGGAGTTCGTCGGCCAGGGATCGAACCCCGGACCACGTGCATGGTCGGTGAGCGTCCTAACCGCTATGCCCCCAACACACAAGAATTATATTATAACAGTGCCCAAATTCGACTCTAACATCGCAGAAGAAGGTATACAAACTATATAATACCTATGATCAAACACAGAGGAGACATAATTCCCAACTTACCACTCAAGAGTAAAATACACTAAAGAAACTGAATAATAGTAAAAATATAGTTATTCTACCAGCTGACAAAGGAAGAACAACAGTAACCATGGACACAGAAGACCACATAAAGAAAGCAGATGATTCACTCAAAGATAGTAATGTATATCAACAGTTGCGGAAAAACCCTATACAAACATTAGATAACAAAATCAAAATAACACTAGATAAACTAACAAAATCAGGACAAATTACAAAAGAAGATCACTGGCCAAATGAAATCCAGCGAACCTATTTTACATCGATTTTATGGTAGACCAAAACTACACAAACCAAACATTCCCTTACGACCAATCGTTTCGCTTCCAGGAACACCAACATATAATCTATCTAAAGAACTTTTCAGGAAATTAAATTACCTAACAGAATCATGCGACCATTCTGTCAATTCACCAATCTAATTTTTAGAGAAAATCAAAAACATTCAAGTTGATGACTATTAAATAATGGTGTCCTCTGCTGTCACAGCATTATATACTTCAATTAGTCCAAAACTAGCAACAGAAACTATACAACAATTACTCTGTAGTGATGAAAACATAAAAACGCAGTGATGTTCAACTTGGATAGAACTCATAGAATTATGTCTCACAACATACTTTCGATTCAATACTCAAATATACGAACAGATAAAAGGAACATCAATGGGATCGCCTATATCAGGATTAATAGCTGAAGCCGTCATTCAAAGATTAGAATTAATAGCTCTACCTATAATTAAACCAAAAGTTTAGGTAGGTTACGTTGTCGATACGTTTGTAATAACTAAAAGAAATGATTTGGAATATACTCATAAATTAATAAACAACATATTTGAAGACATCAAATTCACAAGAGAAGAAGAATTAGGTAACAAAATCCCATTTTTAGATGTCTTAATCAGGAGAACCAACACAGGAAATTTAGAAACACAAGTATATAGAAAATCAACGCACACAGATCAAAAACTCAACTATACTAGCAATAATCCAATTACTCACAAAAGAAACTATGTGCAGACATTGTTTAAAAGAGTTCACACACACTGTAGCACTCCGGTGTTGAAAACAATGGAAGAAAAATACTTACTAACGGTCTTCAAAAAGAATGGATATCCACACAATTTCATCAAAAAGTATTTAAAATCGAGTCACAACACCAACAAGAAACCATCATCACAGACTACAAGAAAATTCACTCTACCATATATCAGAAAAAATACCTCTGAAATAACAGCTAGAATATTGAAACCGTTCGACATAGATATAATACACAAGCCAGCCAACACAATCACCCCATTTGATATTGTACAAACAGAAAGATCCAACAGAAAAAGGACATAAAATTAATACTGTTTACAAAATAAGTTGTATGAATTGTAACAGATATTACATCGGTCAGAGTGGGCGTCCCTTTCGAATCAGAATCCAAGAAATGATATTTATTCTTTCATATCAATGCATGTGGATAATTATGGACACCAATTTGATGAATGGAATAATGTAGAAATTTTAAACGGAGGAAATACCAAAAGTGCCAGAGAATTCCTAGAAGCCTGGTACTCAAGCGAATCAGTCAGCGGTTAACAAACATGTTAATATAGACAAAATCTACCAACTAATAAAATGTAAATCATGTGACGAGAAAGTTTAAAATCCAAGTCAATAAAAAATGATCAATACAGACGTAGATCGACTACCAGTCATGGAGATGGTCACCAGGAGACGCAATTCTTTCATTCATAAAGAATTGAAATCAGTTCACTTCATGCTAAAAATTGAGCCGAAGATGTTGTCCAGAAGGACGACGAAAGCTCCGCAATTGAACCAACCAGCTCAGAGAACACTACTAATTGCAGTACAAACCGTTTCTCAAGAAAGTTACCCTCTGATAAGAAATAACGTGCATCAGATAAGCCTCCAGGTATACAATGTACAAATCAGATTCCAGCCAGACTATTTTCTTTAATACTGTCCATTTTATATTTCATTGGAAACACTAAGGGATACTACATAAAAATACACCGAATACACATACCTTTATAGGCGTCTTTAATAGAAATTCTTCATTCGGTTGATCTGTAGCACTGACCAGTTCATCTAGTAGAATACCTTGAACTTCTAAATCTTTAAATTCATAAAGAAAAGTAGATGTTTGTATAGCTGGTTCCGCTTGTAGACCATCGAATATATACATTCGAGTTTTTTCCATTATAGCAAACATATGAGGATTATCCTGTTTTAATTTTGTTATAAAATAAAAATCAATGTATAAGAAATTAGAATATCAATTTTAAATCAATTGAGATTAATGACTAACAACTTGAGCATGCCACTCATTGAGTTACCTGCTACAGAAACTTCAGCACGATGTATCTCCTTGAGTTAACTAACTAATCAATAATATAAGTGATGCGCGATGACTGAAGGTGAAATGAAAATCTGCATTCAGGTGAGGTTTGGATGACCAGCCTCCGAATGACTACTCTGGTGCCCTACCAGCTGAGCTTTGAAAATTAACTGCTACATAGACGGTCATTTCACTACAATCACTGTAACGGAACAACTGTTTGAAAGATCCCTTCTGAATGATCTAAACACAATATTTGCACTTATATGGATGTTGCAGCGAACTTTGAAATTACTATCCTTTTTTCTCCTAGACTGTATAGGATTGCCCTAACCTGTGGTTTCACCTATACTGAATATTTGTTTCGTCCTAGTTTAAAACTCATCATCAAAATATGTGATTCGTTATGCAATCATACTAACCTGGAATTTCTGAATACCATTAATCCACACTGAATTATTTCTCTATGAAATATAATCATATTGGTGTCATTTCGTACTTGTTCTGTGCTATTCTGTGCGCTCTTTTGTACTGTCAGTTAGTCAGTGAACCACTATCAAGTATCAATGCACCATGTGTGTATTAGACATTAAGACGGGTGCAAAACTAAATATGGCGAACGTACATCTAACCTACTACCTTATTTACTCAATAAGAGTGTCACTTTTCTAGTTTGACCTCGGACTGATAACAGTTGGAAGACTGTTAAAATCCAGAGTCCTAGTCTAGGACTCATCGGTAGTACACACCCACCTGGATTCGAACCCAGGGTCTTCCGGTTACAAGTCAAGCTTGTAGACCATTTAATGATTGAGACCCCACTTTCTTCGTTAATAGTAACACTAATTTCATTAAAAAGGAGAATTTATTCCAAAAGTTTCTGTGAAACTTAATAAAAGAAAAGTATGCAAAACTATAATCAGCAATTGTCAACAGAAGATTGAGGACGTCACCAGGCAGAGGCTATCCTGCAGCTAAGATCGTCCCCTTCCATTGAACAACTTGCTCTTTGGTAAAATCAAAAATCGTTGGATATCCTTCTCATGTTAACAACTCCAACTGTATATACAAATTTACATGTATCTGCGTGAGCTGTTACATTGGAAAGACAGAAAGAAGGGCATACCTACGTGTTTCTGAACATGTACCAAAAAGCTTATGTCTAAAGGGAACAAATGCTTTAAGCCATGACATCATCAGGCATCTCCTTGACGCGGGTCATGAGGTGCACGTAGCAAGATCGTTCAAAATTATCAAGAGGCAAAAGAGTTCAATTCTTCTCAAGTTTGCCGAAGCGATCTCCATCAAGCGTCTGAAATCCGATTTATGTATTCAGAAAGAAATGATTATCAGTCTTTCTTTGCTCTGGTGACTGGATATTTTCATTTTCTCTCTCTCATCTGATTACGTAAAGTCGAAAGTTTCTATTGTGGATGATCATTATTGTTCGGAATAAAGTGTTTATATATATATATATATATACATTGATTTTTGTTTAAAAATGAACTCTGTGCAAGTATGCTAAAATTGTTTCCGCACATATACTTAATAATGACTTTGGGTTGTAAGCAGATGATGAGAAGCCAACGAAATAAACAATGATAGTACCGCTTTATTCTGCAAAACCTGTAGTTCTTGCTTTGTTCAAATTCATTAAGGGGAATAAATCTATGAAACTATAATTAGTCATTCTGTAAGCATAAGAAACTCTCCAATTCATCAGTAAAATGTTTCCAGCATTCCCTTTTGAAATAATTTGGTCAGTCACGATAAGGGTAGATAATTTTCCCTCAACTAGTTGCTCTAACATTTTTTTTGCAAGTTTTATCCACACAAAGAGCATACCACTGGCACCAAACACCTCAGAGTAGTTCAGGATATAAAAAAATGTTTGGAGTCCACCTTTTCCAAGCTCTTACACCTCCAAAATAAGGAAATCATCATACCTGGCTTGCTGGTCACTGTAACACAATGTGAAGGACTTACACTATGCTAACAAGTGCTTTTGTTCTAAATGCTATCCAGACAAATTTCCTGGCATGGTATGACATGAAGAACATTTTTTTCAGTCAGTATAACTCGTTGAGTCATTGTAATATTCAACCCCGTCAAAGAAGAAGCTGCCATTTGGGATTTATCAGTATGTTGCCTCATTATCTATCTCCGCATCATCAGCCTTGGCGCTTACATGTCTGTCTATCTATTTTCGACATAGAACATTGCACATATGTGCAGCAGTTCAAGTCGCCACACTCCCTCCATGTAGCACACAAAGCAAGAGAAGAAAGTAGAAGAAATGCATATCAGAGACAGTAAACAGAGGTTAGAGACAAAGGAATAGTAGTAACTAAGAACAATATAGTTTCATTGGAAATCATAAGTCACAAGGAGTGGATGCATCTGCACCAGTCATTGTGAACGATTTTGAGCCATGTCACCAATTGTTTCCAACCATTGGTTTTTACCGTCCCGAGGACCACAACCAGGAAGTCTACACCTTCCTACGTGGCTTAGACTAACTGTTGTAGATTTCATTGACTGACCAAGCCATGTTTTGATTTGAACGCCGCTAGCTCTTTTCCAGCCTGACCCTATGTCAGCTAACATTGCCCGTCGAGGAAGGCGATGGCTAGGCATGCGTAACACATGTCCTGACCATCTCAGTCGATGTAATTTCACAGCCTCGTCGATTGATTTGCCCTCCTTACCTAGCACTCGACTGAGGCCTAACCTCAATATTGCTCACCTTATTATACCACCTAACACGGGAGATAGAACGTAGGCACCTATGATCAAAGACAGCTGGCCTTTTTCCTCCACTCTCAATGGCCAGGTCTCACAGCTAGCCATAAAGGAGGACGGAGCGGACTGATGAGCAGTACACATGGCTTACATGTAAGTCAATATATATATATTGTCGATTTACGTATGCTGGACCGAAATGCTTGGTCTCTGTCCACATGTCATCTCCTAATATAGAGGCTTCAGCGATGACTAAGGAGTGATGTGAAGTTACTTTGGTTGACGATGACTAGCAGTGGAATTGAAGACATGCATTTCAACCCACTTGGGACTAATCACGTAGATGTAACTAGATTCTTAGAGTGATTGACGGTATACTCATTGAGACTGGAACCTTTAAGCCATCGTTTCAAATATCAAAGCATTATCCACTAGGCGGAAAGGCCCGGAAGAGCTACCTTTTATGCAACAGGCATCAGTTTTTATTTAGAATCAAGAAAAAGATGAATGCAGGGCTCAAATATCATTGGGAACACTATCACTGACTGGGAATGTAGGCGTATTCGGATGGCGAGTTCAAAAAAGGACGAAATGCCCATTTTAGATTCTACCGCTAGTCATCATAAACCAAAATAACTTAATATACTGTACTTGGAAGAAACTACTGAATGTACTTCAGCTGATACTGAAAATATTTGAGTTCTTGATATTAGATGGTTTGAAGCAATCGACTGCATATATAAAACCTCTGTTATGTTAATTTTGATTAATTTCCCTGAAGAAGTTCGGACCAGATTGCCGAACGAAACGTTGGAATTACTCATTTGAATATCGCTGAGATATTACAAATATAATTTTTACGACTGCAGGAAGCCTTGCTTGACCTACGTTTCGTGTAAGTTGGCGCTCATCCACCAGTCAGTAAAGAGTATCTGCAGCCTTGAAGCAACTCATGTCCCTCCCCTGTGAGATTCGAACCTGCGTCAACCAGTGCTGCAACCACTGAGCTATTCCGACTGGCGACTGGCCTCCCGTAGGACTGTATTAGATACTTCTGATTGAAAACCGACTATTGTCATGCGTCTAGTTCTTTGTTTACTGCAGTCTGAATTCTACCAGTCAAGTTTTCAATGTGGCCACCATTCTAGGTGGCTCGCCACCAACCATCTATTATTACAGTGCACCGTGATAACGAGCTACCTAGCATGGTGGCGAAATTGCAAACTTGACTGACAGTAGAATTCAGTCTGCAGTCAACAGAGGACTGGATACATGACACTAGTCATTGACTAGTGTCCAATCAGAGGATTGAATGATAATATAATTAACAAAAGGAAAGATTACTGATGTAAGTAAACTCACTTCTTCAAATTTAACATCCCAAACATCTTTACGCATAAAATTGTCAATATCCTGAAATTTCACCGATGAAGGTAGATTGTTATATGAATCAGGTATTAAATGTAGCCTTAGTATTCCTGACTCATCGATAACAGCCAAACAGCTAAACATACATATACATTCCAATAAAAAGAAAATAAGAATTATGTGGGAAACAGGCTGAAATTAACAAATTTAAATAATGATTAATATATAATGCAACAGCTATAAGACAGTACTTCTTGTCAGGTGATCCACAACGGAAAACTCAGCAAGGCGTTCGAAAGGGAGACATGAGTAAGACAAGCTGGCTGCCTATTATCAACAAAGATATTCTTAATTGTGATGGAATGGATTATACGACACATCGTACTTGGGGAGCGAGAAGACAGGAATATGCTAGACCACGACTCTAGAATATTTGGATTTCGCGGATGATTTATGTTTAATATCACACAAACTCGAAGATTTGAAGGCATAAACCAACAGACTGGAGGAAGAGGCAGGCTGGCAGCGAAGATAGCACCTCAGTTGGACATAGAGATGATGGAGGTGATGAAGATAACCAACCACCACCAACAGCAACAACAACAACCAGCACCAATCACCACCAGCGGGAGAGATTTGACGGAGGTTACTTACTTCACTTATCTGATCAGGAGGCATTGTTTCAATCACAGGCGGTGGCACAGATGAAGATGTCAAAGTCAGAATAGGAAAGGCAAGATATGCCTTCATCAACGTGAAACCAGTTTGGAAATCTTCTGCATTGCACTCATGCAGGCAACATAAAGAACAAGATTTGGATTTTCAACACAAATGTGAAGTCGGTCCTTCTATACGGGTCAGAAACTTTCCCGGGGTGTCACGAAAAGGATTTCCGATAGGCCATTAGAGACTTTTATCGACAGCCGCCACCTCCTCTGGCTGGCTTCATACTGAAGATCAAATGGCAGGCCGGCTAGAGAGAATAAGCAACAAGAAACGTTGGCTAGGAACAAACCAACCAAGAGCCGATTGCTCAACAAGTATGCAGGAGAAAATGGAGGAGGAGGCCGTCGAATAACATCGCGCTCAATGCAGGCCATCGCACGGAAGGAATCAGAATGGAAAGCGACGAGTAGGTCGTCGGTGCGAGGGTGACATAGAGGAGATCGTTTGGGCTGGAGGAGGAGGAGGTGAGAGATTACGGGCAATCGTGGACCCAACTGAATAGGACAGCAGAGAATAGAAGAAAGTGCAGGTGTGTTATTGAAGCCCTATGTTCCACTCAAAACCCAAGGAAATAATAATGATGATAGTGCTCTCAACCCGTTATACATCACACTGGATCATATTTTCACCTGCAAATGTCTAATTATCGGATTTTGCAGCACACATATGTATTTATGCTTGCTTTCTTGACTGCCATTTTCGGCATCAGGCATATCAGATATTGTGATCTGAATAAACAGTTGCTGGATTTTCATCTCGAACTGTTTAGTTTGGATATGACAAACTCAATCCGAGTTATGTTACCAGTTCGCCTAATTAGCCAACTGGAATTCAGATGGTTTGAAGTGACTTGGCAGTCTGTAATGAGGCGAAGCGCATACACCATCGATCAGCTCCGTTTCAAACCGCTGAAGTAACCGTGCAATGTTTCGATTACTTTAGTCCGACCAGTAGTACTATATTTCTCCATGAATTGAAAACTTGACCATGGACGTCTCGTTTCAAACCTATACTACTGTGGTGAGAGCTGTCCTCTGGCCATATTGGTAGCAGCAATTTACGTCAATGTTTATGTCCCAAATCGGGGTGATGAGAAAAAAACAAGAATAAAGCCTAACATTGAGAAACTCAACAACCAATCACAGAAGATTTAGCGTGGGTGGATACGATTAGCAGATAGATCATCGAACTGTCTAAGAAACAGCAACAAAGGGATAACAGAATAGCCTTCAGCAGTAAGACAACCAATCAGAAGACGTCGCTTCCCTACTAATAATAACGAATAATAATGTACATAAAATATAAATATCTGTTAGTTTTCTCAATAAACGATCTGTTGCCTGACCCTTGTCTTCTTTCGTTACAATATTATTATAACTATTATGATAGGTTTTGTTTGCAGCCATGCTGGACAGATCCTGTCGGAATAGGGAAAATAAGAATCATCGTAAGACAAAATTAGTTCTATACAAAACGTATTCCTATTAGCAAATGTATATCAACAATATTGAGGAACTTTATCGACGCACACGTTGAAAACAAAAGTTTCTCTTTACAGGTTTCATTTTATCAAAAGTAGTCATCCAATTCAGACATTTACGATCTGCAAAACACTCAGAAGACAGTGGTTCGGAGTGTGTAATGAATTCCTAAGGTTATACATTGAATAAAATTATATGCATCTTTGCATATCCAAAGCAGTCTGCATACACCATTGGGCTACCTATTTTTCCAACCAGTATAAAGCAACAAATTTACTGCATTCTATACTGCTTTAATCATCCACTATCGTTCTTATCTAACGACGAACTAATAGAAGAAATAAGTCTGATCACTGAAGACTACCACTTCTCAAAAACACAAATGACGAACATCCCTATAAAACAGGACAACCTTCCGCTTCCTTTAGAATCCAACAAAGTTACAATAGGCGAGTGACGAGATATACAGAACAGAAATCTTTTGTAGATTAATTATTGCCCCTCCACTATCAAGAAGCGAACGGGAAAATAAAAATTTTGATTTCTACTAATATGAGCTGTAACCTGTGCTCACTTCCACTTTAAATAGATCTCAATTTAAGTCAATGAAAGAGAAATATAGTACTGCTCAACTCAAATGATATACTCTCCATTACTATGTGACTTGAGGTCACTTTACAAAGAGCGAATAGTGTAAAATAAAGCAGTTGAACTACGATTAACCTTCTCCATGAAACCTATGATTCATGTGAACGTGAAGGATAAGCTACCGGCTCTGGCCACCTCATCAATGTGTATCTACCAGTTCACCTGCTCGTATGGGGTCAGGTCTGTCGGCCGTAGCCAGCGTTCGCCTTCCAAACGTATCACCGAACACTTACCAGCATGGTTTCACAAAGGAGAAAAACAGTGCCCCCGCAGCTCTATCTTAGAACATCTCATAAATTCCGGACACCAAGCTACGCCCCGAACAAACTTCAAAGTCGTCTACAGAATACGAAGCAGTCTTCCTAAAAGTGTACGAATAAAACTTCTTCAAACTGCAGAAGCAATGGCAATTCACTTGCTAAGTCCTGAACTCTGCATACAGAAGAAGTTCGTTCAGTCACTACACTTGCAATGGACGTAATCTATCTTAATAACCGACAGGTAAATTCCACTTAATTTTTTTCTCTTCTGTCTCTTCATTAGTATTATTTTGTCTTTTCAATTGTAATATTTTACATTTTCAACTTTCTTTTTCTCTTCCTTCCACCCGATTTAATTTCTACAACTCATTACCACTGTAACTGACTTGACCAACGCTCAATTTCTAGTCCTTTATGTTACGTCATCCAATGCATTTGCTCAATTTTAGTCCTAATTAAAATGGCATTATTCTCCATCTCACCTCCACTTAGTCCCTTCCTGTAATTACTTACCTCTGTTGCTACCCTGACCTAAGTTGAAACATTCTAATCAATTATATTACGTCATCTAACTTACTAATTCAATCTTAATTTAGATATGATGGAGAAGATTTGCAGCTCAGGTGGATGATTTTGATGCGTTTGTGTTCTCTGAGCTGGATAGTTAATTTGCGAAGCTTTCATCACCCTACTAGGTGACATCTTCAGCGCATACTTCAAGTTGAATTGAAGTGAGCTTTTAAGTTTTCTCCACGAGTTTATGAATCATCTCTCCCGGTGGGTGACCTTGAACGTCGTCATTGGTTGTTTTTGTGTGTTTTCACACCTTCTAGGTTACTTGTATTGGAACTGATTTTTTCTTTGACTTGAACTTTGACCGTTTGTGTGTGAGATTTCCTTCTTATCGATTGGTAAATTTTGTCAATTTCGATATGTCTATTGATTGACAATTCACTGGAATACCACAGGGGCTTCTAAAAATTCTCTAGCATTTTTGTTGTTTCCTCTGTCTAATATTTGAACGCTGTTTGTCTCAGTCGAAACGATGTCCGTGGTCGTCTGTATGTAGTGATATGAGGGAGTGGATATCATGTCTTTTGACGACCAGTTTACGTTCCTTCATACGAAGACGAAGGGGACGTTCACTTTGGCCAATGAAGTGTTTTTCGCAGTTGTTACAATTTATTTTGTAGATGATGTTGGTTTTATCTTCTTTCGCTGTTGAGCCTCTTGGTTGACATAGAACTGAGTGAAGTGACTTTGTTGGTTTGTGTACGGCGTCAATTCGTAAAGGTTTGACGAGTCTTGCAGGGATTTCTGATATATCCTTTATATATGGCAGGGCGACTTTCTTTGTGCTTTCCTTGGGGACTTTTGGTCTTCGTATCCACGAACATAAGCTAGCCGTCAAAAGACATGATATCCACTCCCTCATATCACTACATACAGACGACCACGGACATCGTTTCGACTGAGACAAACAGCGTTCAAATATTAGACAGAGGAAACAACAAAAATGCTAGAGAATTTTTAGAAGCCCCTGTGGTATTCCAGTGAATTGTCAATCAATAGACATATCGAAATTGACAAAATTTACCAATCGATAAGAAGGAAATCTCACACACAAACGGTCAAAGTTCAAGTCAAAGAAAAAATCAGTTCCAATACAAGTAACCTAGAAGGTGTGAAAACACACAAAAACAACCAATGACGACGTTCAAGGTCACCCACCGGGAGAGATGATTCATAAACTCGTGGAGAAAACTTAAAAGCTCACTTCAATTCAACTTGAAGTATGCGCTGAAGATGTCACCTAGTAGGGTGATGAAAGCTTCGCAAATTAACTATCCAGCTCAGATAACACAACCACATCAAAATCAATCTTACTTTAGTTGATGTCTAATTAACCTTGTTTCTATATTAGATCATTCTTGTATTACCTAATTAATTATCTAAACTTGACAAACCTCATCTACGCACACACCCAAAAATAATTGTATATAAATGCAATTGTACAGATATGTGAATAAAGTTCACCGAAAAGAATCTCTTCGCTGAATGTCTTCTCTTTTTCATAAAATAATACAGGCTAAAACATTTTGTCTAGAATACAGCTATTGCTATTATTATTATTATTATTATTATAACTGTTTCTGAAATTCACTCACGTTGCATCACAATTCACGTATATTCGATAAGGACGATTATCATCTGTTTGAAATTTCATTTCAAGATATAAATCTGGTAGCCTGTGCAATTGTATCACTCCGGACTCTCGTGCAATAAATAACCGTCGAGTTGATTGACTGATGGTCAGTGTACATATTGGATCAGATGTCTCAGTTTGCTTTAGTATACTCCAATCGATTCCTGTCTGAAGTACTGATGAAGGCATGTCATCTTCTAAAGATGTCGACAATGATTTCATTGAAATTTTATCAATATGATACAGTCTAAAGGTGTTTTAAAAAATAACAGCAATAATAATAAAACAAATGTTGTAATGACATTACTAAAACAAATATCATTCTATCATCATTTTGTTGGATATTTTGCATGTCCACTCATCATCTGTCACAAGAAACTGGACTAATGGAAGTTGTATCTCGTTAGACATAAGCTAGGGGTGGGGACAACAAGATGTACTGCTTACTTAATAATGGTGTAAGTGATTTTTGGTTAAAGTTGTCCGAAGAAGTTCTCTGACGCAGCCTGGTGGTTGCGCTATATATTGCATATCGATAAAAGTTATAATTTATGGGCTATTTGGACTCTATCTCAGTGGCTAAATAGTCTGCCATTTCTCTCGTTGTAACTTGAAAGGTTCAATCCTTCAGGTTCTTTCTGAAGAGCCTCAAGAAAGGACAAAATATTTGTCCAGTACTCCCTGGTTTTCACTGATTCTTTGACTAAAGCCTCTTCCGTGTGCATCTACCAATTTAACTGCTCCTGTGGAGCCAGTCAGTTATTTATGCCGTAAAATTAGGCATGTTTCTCGTCGAATTTCCGAACATCACTCTGCATAGTGGTTCAGTAAAGGACAGAGAAAATCTATTCTCAGCGCTATTCTATCTCATCTTGTGGATACAGAACACAAGATTGATGTCAACGAGGCAGCTTTCAAAGTCATTTACCGCATACCAACTAATCTTAACTTCGCCTTAAGAGTTCGTTTACTAAATATTGCTGAGACTGGCTGTTGGGATCTACATTAAGAAGCCTAATTTATGCTTCCAAAAGAAGCTAGTTCAGACATTATCCTTACCTTGGCCATCTAGGCTTGAATGATCCTCAGTTTTTGTTGAATTTTCTTCAATCTTAGTTGACATTCTATTTGCTATTACAATTTTATTTTTATTATAATTTAAGCATCTTTAATGAACTGTAATTCCATTTTGATCTTACTTTACAAAGTTTCAAGTAATTTATTATTGTTCATTCTCATCTCATCAATTATAATCACATGACTTCCAAACTTGAGTTTTATAGTTTTCTTTGTTCTCTCCTATTCGTAGTCGTAGGGGTAGTAGAATTTTCCGGATGTCCGCCTCGACAGGTATTGAATCATTCCTATTACACGTGTTTGCAGTTGATTCGATAAACAAAGCTTCCGTTATCAACCTCTACCTCCACCTCCCACCTTGTTACATTAGATTTTAAAACTGTCATCTTATCCCATCCATCCTATTGTATGGTTGTGTGTAAGTGCATGTAGTGTTATCTACGGGTGAACTATTCTCCAGGTTTTCTTATCTTATTCGGGTCAACTAATCTAGATTCTTTTGCTTTGTTTTTATGCTCTGCCTATGTATTTGACCTGACAATTGTTGCAGACAGGGTATTAGATAAACTAAATTGTTTTGTTTTAAAGGTTCCACAGGATTGATCCTTTAACCGATAAAGCTTGTATCTAATTGAGTTTGTGGGTGGTTGGAATGCCGGTTACTTTTATTCCTGCCTTGTTAAGAATTCCGTCTGGCTGGCCAGCCATGCTGGACAGTGTTCCAGAATACCTTTGTGGACTTGACGTTGCCTACGGCCGATATACTTTGCTTCACACGAGCGAGTAAATTGATAAATACACACTGAAGTAGCCAAAAGCGGTATCTTATCCTTCACGTTAGACTGGATTAACTGTCTATCTTCTGGAGAATGTGATACTTAAGGTGGCTGTTGGAAATTTCTTCAGACATTTAGAAAGGCGGTTTCTAAGAATCTCCGCTACGATGTCACCTATGAATTCCAGGTTCATGAAGAGAGTTTTCTTAGGAACCGTTGTCATTTTTGGTGACAAAGGCTTTTGTTTCATGTTTTTGTCTATGAATCTTGGTGGATTCCCGTTCTCTAGTAGGGTTTCACGCAATAAATTTAATTCTTTCTCCATCATGTCCTCCGAACAGATTCTTCTAATCCTTGAACTTAATGTATGTACCAGGTTTCTCTTTCGGATTAGTGGGACAAAGCTCTGGAAGTTGATTAACTGTCCCGTCCATTTTGGCTTGTGATATATAGATCTTCGAATCGTACAGCCATGTCTTCTGGTGAGTAGTACATCGAGGAAAGGAAATGCGTTGTTCGATTCACGTTCTAAGGTGAATTTTATTGATGGGTATGCTGCGTTGAAGGTTTTGAGGAGATACTCTTAATCAACTTTTTCATCACAGATTATGAACATGCCATCTACCCATCTCCTGTATAAGTGCAGTTGACTTATCAAAGGATCAAGGATTTTGTTTTTAAGACTCGCCCTAGAGCAGTCGGCTGGGAGTGGATTGAGAGGAGACCCCATGGCTACACCATTTTTCTGTACATAGAATTGTTCATTGAATTTGAACAGGATATTAAACGTACATCTGAGAAGTAGTTCCTTCAGGCGATTTATGGGAAGAGGGAATTCTAGGTTGTTACATTAGATTTTATAACTGTCATCTTATCCCATCCATCCTATTGTATGGTTGTGTGTAATTGCATGTAGTGCTATCTATAGCTGAACTATTCTCCAGATTTCTTGTTTTATTCGGGTCAAGTAATCTAGATTTTGCTGCTAAGTTTTTATGCTCCGCCTATGTATTTGAACTGACAATCATTGCACGTAGGATTTTAGATAAACTAAATTATTTTGTTTTAACGGCTCCAAAGGATTGATCCTTTAACCGACAAAGCTTGTTTCTAATTCAGTTTGTGGATGGTTTGAATGCCAGTCACTTTTATTCCTGGGCTTACTACCACTTGCACAAGGTGGTGGGTGGGTGGGTGAGCAAGTCGATCACGAATCGACCTCTTACCATACACGTGGTCGGCGAACATTCTACTACTAAACCGCTGACAGATAAACTAAGCAACCCTGTGAATGTCATAAGGATTTTAAATTGACTTAAATATCTACACTGTTTGAACAGCATACACATATATCTTTATCTATAGTGCAGTCACTAACCTTTCGATTCCATCACGTTGACGTAGAATTGATGTCATTGCTGTTGTTGTTGTTGTAAATGTTGAACCTAATTCAAGGATTTGTTTTGGCGTAAAATATTGCCAAGCGTAAAGAAAACTTTTATTGATTAAAATCACTTGATTTCCACTCATCATTGTTTGCATTGGTTCGAATTGGACACGTTTTGATTCCAATGCAACACCAAGTGCTGTGCACAATGTCAACAGAACCTGAAACATGAATAATAACAGTAATAATTATAAATGTGATTGGATTTTGGGGGAAGATTATGCTTCCTACCATCCTCTAACCCCTTTAAAGTGACCCTGTTCATATTTCTAAAAAAATAAGTAGCCTTTTATTTAGAATTTATGGAAAAAAATTAGAATTTCACCAGATATACCACTGTTTGAAGTGATTATATTTATTATAGTTCCTTTGGGTTCCTAGTGGAACATAGGGCTTCAACTGCACGTCTCCACATGCTTCTGCTGTACTTTTCACCTGCAACCATGTTAGTCCATACTGTTTCAACTCCTCCTCTTCACACGATCTCCTCCATGTCACCCTAGCATTGACGACCCACTCGCCGCTTCCCTTTCGGGTTCCACTCGAGCTATGGCCTGACGTGCGATGTCACCCAGCGGCCTCCTCAGCTCAGCGAGTGTCCAATCTAACTCCACTTTCTCCTGCATATTTGTTGAGCGATTGGTTTTTGTTTTGCTTGTTCCCATAGTTTGTTTCTTGTTGGTGATTCTTTCCGGCCATCTGATGATCTTCAGCATAGAGCAAAGACAGTTGTTGATAGAGGTCTGCAACCTGTTGGAAATATTCTTTGCGACACACTACCCACGTTTCTGATCCGTATAGAAGAAATGACTTGACGTCGTTTGTATTGAAAATCCGAATTTTGTTGTTGATGGTGAGTTGAGTGACGAAGATTTCCAGATTGGTTTCAGGTTGGTGAATGTGTTTCTCGCCTTTCCAATTCTCGATTTGACATCCTCGTCCGTTCCTTCTGTAGTTGAGATAATGCTCCCTAGAAAAGTGAATGAAGTAACCTCTTTCAAATCCTTCCCGTTGATGGTGATTGTCGGTGGATGTTGTTGCAGTTGTTGTTGTTGGTTGGTTGGTTATTTTCATAACCTCTGTCTTGCCTATGTTCACCTGCAGTCCTGTCTTTGCTGCTTCTTCGACCAGTTTGTCGGTTTTCGCTTGTAAGTCTTCGATTTTGTGTGACATCAAATATAAATCATCCACGCGCGAAATCCAGGTCTTCTAGGTTCTTCACGTCGGTCCAGGATATCCCTGCCTTCTCGTTTCCCACTGTCTGACGCATAATCCAGTCCACCACACTTAGGAATATCATTGGTGATAATAAGGACCCTTGTCTGACTCCTGTGTTTACTACAAACGCCTCGCTGAGTTTTCCGTTGTGGATCACTTGACATGTGCCGTTGTCGTACAGCTGTTGAATAAGGTTGATGAATATTTGGGATACGCCGTAGTACTTGAGTAGTTTCCAAATTACTTCGCGGTCAAAGCTGTCGAAGGCCTTCTCAGTTTGAAATGATTAAGGAACTTTTATAAGTCTTCAACGGGTGTCAGATGTAGAGTACACGTGACTTATCTACCATTTCTGATATGTTACGCAGTATCATTATAGTGCCAGCCATTGACAGAACAGGTTACAGCCACGTCGAAATATCCAAAGAAACAATCGTCGCAGTTACAACTGCTATTGTAACACGAAGTGTATATTATCAATGGTAGCTTATGTAAACCTGGACGCTTACACCACCTCTAAAAGTCGAAGCTAATCTTAGACTTAAGGTGAAAGCTATTCCTCAACGCAATACTTCCCCTGTTCCCTTTATTTTTTTCACTCGAAGTCCTGTCTTCACTGCTTCTTCTGCCAACAGGCTTCAAGTTTACGTGACGTTAGAGACATAAATCATCCGTAGAGCCCAAAACCTCCAGAGTCCAGTGTATTCCTGTCTTCTCGCTCCCCGCACGTAGTGTGCCACATGATCCAGCCCACCACAATTAGGAATATCATCTGTGATAGTAGACGGCACTGTCTTACGTCCTGTTTTCACTTTAAAATTTTCACTGGCTTTTCCGTTGTGGATCAGTTAGCATGTAGCATTGTTATATAGTTGGTGAATGAGGTTGATAAAGGTATAGGGCTCTCCAGTGTGTTGCAGCAGTTTCCAAATTACTTCGCGGTCAACACTGGCAAAGACCTTTTCGAAGTCGACGAAAGTGAGGCAGAGAGATTTGACTACCATTCCATGCTGCATTCCATTATGATCATAATTAAACTAGGATACTTATTTTAAAGGAAGTGCAACGTTCAGTGTTGTCATCTACCGGCTTCAAAACCCTTTAGATAGGATATTTCACAACTTTAAATTAGTATTCTGCTTTTGATTACATAGATGATCGATTGTTTTTCACTTTCATATAGATTTCAGACTTAAGCAGAATTATCGACTGACCGACTCAGAAGTGTGACTAAGACAAGAGGGAAGATACATTCATATAGAAGCCTGAGGAGTATTTATCTGACAAACTAAAAGCATAAGAAACAGTGATATAATACTGTTTTGAAACAGTAGGTATTTCTTTTCTTGCTTCCATTCTTTGTAATCTGAGTGAAAGATAGTAGCTCAAATCCTTAAGTTTCAGCGGATATAGTGTTGTTTCTAAGGGGCACATTAACTACCTCTGTAACGACAGAATACAAGGGCCAGGCAACAGATCATTTATTGAAGAAATCAAGAGGTATTCATTTATCTTTATGTACATTATTACTCGTTATTATTAGCTGAGAAACAGCGTCTTTTGATTGGTTGTTTTCTCGCTGAAAGTTATCCTGTCATCTCCTTGAAGGTCAGACCATATATCTGCGACTCGTATCCACCGACGCTAAATCTGCTGTGATTGGTTGTTAAGTTCTTCAAGGTTAGTCTTTGTTCTTGTTCTTTCTCATGACCAAGATATGCGACGTAAACATTAACGTAAATTTTTTTTCCTTCACGTTCCCCAGTGGAAAATAGGGCTTCAAGCTAGTTGGCTTGAAGTTTCTGTAGCAGTGTTTATTTTACAGGATGGGGTTGCTAGCCTCATGCCCAGCCTTTCCTCTTTACCAGAATTATTTCTGGCTCAGCGAGGTAAAGGAGTGCATCGGCCGGGGATCGAACCCCGGAACATGTGTATGCTCGGAGAGCGTCCTAACCGCTATACCACCGACGCACTTAACGTAAATTGTTGTCTACCAATTTTGGCTAGCAGACAGCTCTCACCACACCTCTTGTCCAGGTCTTACTATTGGCTAAGAAACTGTTAGGGTTTGAGAGTGAGAAGCCGGATAAACTGAGTAGCTCGTGAGCATTCTATAACTGGGCCACTAACGCAGGCGTTTTATACTAGGCAAATTGGACTACAATAGGTATCCAAAGTCGAAGAAAGTCGTAGTTAGGGCAGAGTATGTTTTGATCAACTCATTTTTGGATTAAGTGTTCGCCTCGTCTGCTACAAACATCACTTGAGGCTTTTTTAACGAATAAGTGAAATGTTTAGCTGGGTATAAAAGAGTCAATTTCATTGTGTGCTTCTAAATCCTAGTAACTGTTACATGGAAGTTCACGGAGGCCCTCACTCAGATTACTGCAATATTATTCATTAGAAATTATTAATTCGGTACAAATTCAGTCGTAGATATGATCTAAGGCATTTTTATATGTATCACAGGAATAATTCATGTATTAAAATAGTGTCTAAAAATCGTCATCAGCTGATGAAGTTGTCAAGTTACATCTACTAAAATAGCATAACGAGTCGTTGCTTTTGTCGACGAGCATTGTTACGTAACGTAGGAGAGGGTAAGAGGTGGTCAATTCAAAGCCAAGTACCAATCCATGAAGCCATGTAAACAGTTGTAGACTACCTGACTGGGGTCCGGAGAGATTCTAAGATCCAATGGCTGTGTACTACTTTTAAGAAGTGTGACAAACTAAATTGTTTCACCTGTTGGGCAAAGTTCTACTTTGAAGATTCAGATCACTTCACTGACCTTACTGACTTTTCACTTTTTTTGTGACCTGGCTCCACTTGTCCCACTGTTCACCATGCATGCAAAAAGTATCAATATTCTACGCTTTAATATAAAATATAATAGGCCCAGTTCATTTCTTTGTAGATTTCACCTTATATTCTGGAGAGTTAGTGATTTTAACGAGTTGATCATGAATTGATATCAGTTAGAGAACCATTGGAAACCAGCACTGGATTACTGGACAGCTATTTTATCCTAGTTTGGGAATCACTGGCAGTACGCACCCACTGGAGTCCGAACCCAAGACCTTCCAGTTACGAGGTAAGCTCGTATAACATTCAACCACTGGGACCCAACCAGATTCAATGGCCAGTGCATGAATTATAACTTCTACCGATTCGTGATTTAGCGCTATCACCAACCAATGTTATCGGTTCTGAGTTAGAACCCCAGTGGGTGCGTAGTGCCGATGATTCCCAAACTAGGATGAAATAGCTGTCCAGTACTCCAGTGCTGGTTTTCAATGGTTCTCTAACTGATATCGATCCGTGATCAACTCGTAAATACAAAACTAATCCCTACAAACCAGCTATAGAAAAGAGTTAGTGATTCCCATAAGAATCATCCACATCCTATAGGATGTCAGCAAGAAAGTGAAACATGAAGACTAAGAGTGAAAACACTAGTCTTTATTATTATTATTATATTATAATAAGCATTAGGTTCCGAGTGGAACATAAGGTTTCAGCAGAGTATTTCTATTTTACTCTGTTCTTTGCTGTCCTCTTTAGATGCCCCCATGATTGTCCATAAGCTTTCATCTCCTCCGCACACAGCCTCCTCCATGTCTAAATGCAAATTTGATTGGTTCGAGGATTTCATCATGAGCTGACACATCAGTTAGAAAACCATTAGAAAACCAGCTGGGAGTGCTGGACAGCTGTTTCGTCAGCCTAGTTTGGGACTCTCCATCAGTACGCACCCACAGGGGCTCTAACCCAGGACCTTCTGGTTACAAGGTAAGCGAGCTCGTAGACCATTAAGAAAGTGGGACCCGATCCAGTGGCCTACCCATGAATTCCAACTTCTACCAATTCGTGATTTTTGCACGACTAGCACCAGCCAGTGTTATCGGCGGTGTGTATTTGTCCTCAAATTCCTAAGGCTGATAGTTGTTTGCGAAGGATACTTTACTGAGACTCCAGTGGTAAAGTAACTATTTTTTCATTACAAGCTTTCTCAGTGCATCTGTTCAATGTTGGTTCATTTGTGAAACACACATTTTGTAAATCAGAGATATTTAGCTTGATGTCGATACTGTCAATTTTTAAGGAGCTGTTTCATATCTCTCATTGAACTTCTTAACAAACTGTACTTTCTTACTCTTAATCTACTGCTTTCATGAAACTTTTGAACTTTGTTTAGCTTTGGTAAGAATGAGAATTGTTGCAATCTGTTGTGCTTTATAGCACTTTAAAAGTTTTCGTTCTATTCTTATTCTTATCATTGTTTCGTATCTCGCCTCTTGATGGGAGCTGAGGACATTGCACAGTAGGGTTAAGTCGCATGTTGTTGGTGTTTCTGTGTGTCCATTGTTATAATCAAGCAGTATAAGCTTATATATATAGTAACAGTTTTGCTTTGTCACTACTTATACTGAGATAATTCATTGTTTACCTTCTTCAGAGCAATAATTTTTAAGTTCAAGTAACGCAATGTAGCACAAAACAGATTGGTATTCAGTGTTCCATTATAAGTGAAAAATGAGACAAAACTGAATTTAAAACAAATATCTGAATTTTCGAGCATTAGTTATGTAGGGAATTTGTTTGGTTGGATGGCGGACTTCATCATGATCTGACATCAGTTAGAGAACCATAAGAAAAAGTGCCGGGAGTACTAGACAACTGTTTCGTACTAGTTTGGGACTCTGAGGTTCTAGTGGGAAACCATGACAAGTCGGAAACAGCAGGTTGAAGGTGAAGATAGTTATTCATAGAAGACGACATTGCGAAGTGGTCGCGTTATGTTATGAGTAGGCAGAAGTTAGAATTCGTGGACTGGCCATTGGATCGGATCCCAGTGGCTCAATCGTCTACGAGGTCGCCTTGTAATCAGAAGTTCCTGGCTTCGAACCCCATAGAGTGGATGCGTGCTACTGAAGATTCCCAAAATAGGATGAAACAGCTGTCCAGTACTCCCAGCTGGTTTTCCAATGGTTCTCTAACTGATGTGTCAGCTCATGATGATATCCCCCAACCAATCAAACAAAACTCCCTACAAAAATCAATACTTCAAAAACGCAAATATGTTTATCACAAGCATCTATCTAACAGCTTCCATTCTTGTTCTGACCGCTTCATTGAAAAGAAAACAACATACATTTAAACAAATTTAATGTCAAATATTTAGAAAATCAAAAAATACCGTAGAGTAATTAATGCTTTTAGCACTTACCCCTTGACTAGAATCGTGCAGTTTACAGACTAAACAAACATATTCTTCTGCAGCACAAATATGAATTAGATGACGAACAGAAATCACTTTAGTCTAGAAAAGAGAAAGAAATCATAAAAATTGAGGATGCATTCTATATATATACAGTGTATGATGTCTGGCTAACATAAATAATCTCTACTTAAATACTATTGATTGTCACAACACAGTTTAATTATTATGAAAATGAATATAGAACAAATATTCACTGAACTGATGCGCCAATAGAACAAAGAAAGGCGTCAGTTAGAAATACCCAACTGATTGTAGTCTGCAGCAAACACTTGGATAACCTAATTCACATTGTAACAACAGAAGGCAAGACACGGAAGCCAAAGGTATATTTTCCATTGATCAAACCGCTGTTTATTTCCCTACAGTTTGTATTGGTTAACCAATCATCTTTGAACGTGTGATTCCGGTTTACATCAAACGATAAAAAATAGAATGTACACAGTAATCTGTTGCCAATGCAGTATTGAACTGTGAGAATATGTGAGAATAATATTCCGTTGGCACACACTGTATGTATCACACCACCACACTCGTCCCCTAATCAAAAACTTTCGACTGAATTCGGTTGGATCTTCTTAGTGCTGTTGGCTTTGTTAGCTGCTGTTGCTGTATCAACTTCCGGAGCTCGCTGAAGTTCACCCACCGCACTTTGTTTGCATTTCTGATCGTATATACGTGATCGCATCTCACGGTGACCATGTATGGTCCTTCCCACTTTGGAAGCTGTTTGCGTGACCCTGGTGCGTATTCGTCGGTGTTTCGCCTCACACTTTTATATGCTGCCTTCTCCCGAATTCCTCGCAGCCTTCCAAATAACAGCCTCATCGCTGACGGATCTTGAACGCCATTCAATTGCGTAAAAGCCTCAAAATCCTGCAAGAAGATCCATATGTCTCCATCAAAAATTGCATGGCGTAGGCTTTCCATTTGTCGGCAGGCAGCGACGTCAAATCTAACGACAGAAGACAAGGACCAGCCAAACAGATCGTTTATTGATAAAACCAACAGATATTTATATTTTATGTACAATATTATTCGTTATTGTTAGCAGAGAAGCAACGTCTTCTGATTGGTTGTTTTCTTGCTCAAGGTTATTCTGTCATCTCTTTGTTGCCGTTTCTTAGACAGTGCGCTGATATATCTGCGAATCGTATCCATCTACGCTAATTCTGCTGTGACTTGTTGTTGAGTTTCTCAAGATTAGGCTCTGTTCTTGTTTTTTCTCATGACCAAGACTTGGAACGTAAACAGTGACGTCAATTTTTATGTACAATTTTGTCTTGCAGACAGCTCTCACCAAAGTAGTATAATGTTCAAGTGATGCTGAAAATTCATCAGTGATCGACAGTTCAAAGTGTACAAAACTCCATCATATCAAAAGTACATGCTTTACAAGTACATGATCACAATTTTGGCGAGTATACTGAATGAGAACTACTTCAAGACATTCCTTCATCTGTTTTTAGATTGTTGGGTAGGAAACTGGAATTTTCCATTTTAGCCAAACAAATAGTCCAATTATCAACTCACCTTTTTCCAGTTGAGATGAATGCTAACAAAATTTGAGTACAGAAAGAATTCGTTTATTTTAATTCTTGACAGTATAATCACTTCATAGCCAGTATGTAACGACAGAAAACAAGCGTCAGGCAACAGATCCTTCATCGAGAAAATCAAGAGATATTTATACATTTTTATGGACATTATTGTCAGCGGAGAAGCAACCTCTTCTGATTGATTGTTTTCTTGCTCAAGGTTACTCTGTACTGTTTATGACGGTTTCCTAGAAAGTTAAGCCATATATCTGTGAACCGTATTTGCACACGCTAAGTCTGCTGTGATTGGTTGGTGAGTTCCTCAAGGTTAAGCTTTGTTATTGTGTTTTTTCTCATGACCTTGATTCAGGACGTAACATTGACGTCAGTTGTTGTCTACAATTTTGTCTTGCAGACAGCTCTGACCACAAGTACACTTACAAATAAAAACGTACATAACTTGAGTAAAATATGTATATATAAGTGTCAACAACTCACCTTGTTAGTTTTCAAATTCCAAAAGACAACTGACATATCAAATGTATGTTGACGTGAATAACTATAAATTATTGTATTTGTTGTTGAACTATATGCCCATTTATAATATGGACGTAAATTAGCAAAGTATACAAATGAATCGACAGCTAAAGCTAATCTTAACGAGCTATTGCCTTCCCATGAACATGCAGTTAAACATTTACCAGGCAGACATAATGTACGTAAATGCTGTATTAAAAGTTTTAAGAGAGGGAGAGATAAAAAGAATCTAAGAAAACGTTTATGTATATGGAAAACTATAATTAACTGAATGTTTACTTTCGAAACACAGTTCAATGTTCATTGAACAATGCTGGCGGCGAATTTGAACCCGGAAACTAACTAGTAATTTATAGTTTTGAATTACTGAAAATTTGTAAAACAGTATATTCATTTCTTGTCGAAAATTACCAGTTAAAATAACCTGTTCTGTGCACTTCGCTGTTACAATTATCCAGTTAATTCAATTGGTGAGATACAATACCAAAGATGTCTTGTATAAAACTCTCCTTTTCCAAATTTTTCCGTCATTACCGGATAATGTAAACGACCCTCCATTATGGAACTACTGGACATGTATAATGCCTCATTGGCTCAATGGCAGAATGCTCACCAGCCTAGCGAGTGGTCCGGATTCGACACCCAGAACGAGGTACCTCTAATCCAAACCTAGCAATTTCTGAATTTGAGATTTACCCGTAGATTGATTGGACCTAAGTGCTCGGTCTCAGGTTGACATATCGGCTTCTTGTGCAGATACTTCGAAGATGTCACAGCATGTAATTAGAAGTTAATTGGTGGATGGTGACTAGCAGTGGAGTCCAGCCAGGATTCGCATTTCGTCCTATTTGGGACTCGTGGTCAGCTGGATGTACCTGCATTCCCCAGTGAGTGATGATGTTCCCACCGACGCTCGAATCCAGTGCCCTTAGTTTCAAACCCCAAAGTGTTATCCACAAGAAGCCGACATGTTAACCTGAGACCGAGCACTTCGGTTCAATCAATCGAGGGGAAATCTCAAATTCAATTAAATAATTAATAGGCCCCGCTGCACAAGAGGTGGCTCTCGTGGCCCAAGTGGTCTAGTGGATAACGCTTTGGCGTTTGAAACTATGGACACTGGGGTCGAGCCTCGGTGAGAGCATCATCACTGGGGAATGTAGATACATCCGGCTGACCACGAGTCCCAAATAGGACGAAAGGCGCATCCTGGATTCCACTGCTAGTCACCATCCACAAACTGAATTCTAGCAATTTCTGAGCCTGAAAAGAGTGGAGGTTATGTAGGCGTGAAGACAGCAGCCCTACTACCGCTGAAACTTCTTCTAATCAGAACATAAGGGCGAAGAGAAAACAGATCATGAATAAATAACCATTTTTCAATTACATTGAAATAACAGTCCAGTTAATAATCTTTAACCGTGTACAGAGTACAGAAGTGTTTAACAGGTTATGTGAGTTAATACAGCACCTTCTATTGTGTGTCACTTATTATTTAACAAAATAATTTATATTTAAATATATAACTCCTGAAGTTGGTCGAGAACCTGATCACCATAACATAACACGACAGTAATTTGCCTTAAATCATACTTAATATTAAAGAATGAAACCTTATTAAATGATTGGAGGCAATTGGCCACCGGAAGACTTGCTTGACTTGTGTTTCGTCGTAGTTGGCGCCCACCAATCAGCAAGGCGTATCTGAAAACTTGAAGGAACTCATGTCCCTTTCCTCTGAGATTCAAACCCGCGTCAACTAGTGCTGCAGCCACAGACGTTACTACTGAGCTAGCTATTTGGTCTCGCGATTGACCTCCTGTAGGACTGTATTAAATACTTTGACTGGACACTGGTCAGTGACTGGTGTAGTGTGTCTAGTACCTTGTTTAGTGCAGACTGAATTCTATTGTCAATCAAGTTTGCAATGTAGTCAGCATTCCAGGTGGCTTCCTGTGACCGATCGCCTCCAACCACCTAATAGCAACAATTCAAAGTGCACCATGATGGTGAGCCATCTAGAATGCTGGCCACATTGCAAACCTGACTGATAGAATTCAGTCTGTATTAAATAAAGGACTAGACATATTACAACACTAATTACTAGCACTAGTGTCCAATCGAAAGAAAAGAAACCTTAACCGCAGGTCAGTTCACAGTATCACTTGTCAACTCCAGTGTTAATGAAAACCTCATGACTTTGTATTGTATTCGCTCTACCAACAATTCGCATAGTACTCATTATCATTATGATCATCACTGTCAATCAATCTTCTTCCACTTCAAACCGATTTAAGTTATAACAGAGGTGACTGTTAAACTGATCCTCATCTTCAGGTATTTTAAAGTGTTGGTTTATGATGAATACTAAACAGCTGTTTCGTCCTAGTCTGAGACTCCTTAGTAAAACGTATCCGCGACCGCAACACATTACTGACTGACTGACTGTGAGATAAACTTCCCAGAGTTGTAATGAGAAGTCATGACCAATAGGATGCACTGAATCTTTGTCAGGAAAGATATTCGTAGATAGGATTAAACCGTAGACTGAATTTATACCCTAGTGCATTCATGCCCAGTGCCTGAATTGTGACGTGTTCGCCTTGTAACATCAGTGTCCAGAATCTGATCCCTGGATGTATCATAGGTGTATAAGACGATACCCTCAGTCAACAATGCACTCAACATCATTAATGTCGAAATAGTTAACCCAGCTGTATAAAAATGGATGGATAAGGCCTTTGAAGAACTTTTTTCATAATAAAACCATGGGAATCAAATTCTTCTTTTGCAAATACTACAGTATGAAGTGAAAAATTCATTACAGTTTCTTCTGGAGACCAAAAAATATTCAAATAATAATAAATGGTCTGTCTGATGGTATAAATAGAATTCAGACAAGGAGACAAACTGATTCAGCTATTTAAGTTGAGTCGGTTTGGTTTACACGGATGATGAATTCCGTCTGAAACGATGAAACCACCTACCAGACATTTAGGTCATTTTATTCTGGCAAGCGCTGGATTCAGGAGGAACAAGTCATGCATCGTTCAAATTGCAACACTACGGATCATCATTAAGCAGAGCTTGGAATGGCAGTCAGCTGTCTACCTCACTCGACTTCATCGACTTTAAAAAGGCCTTCAACAGCGCAGCGTCGATCGAGAGGTGATTTGGAAACTACTTCGCTACTACAGGGTGCCACCAACAATTATACATCTCATTCAACAGTTGTACGATAGTGCTGCATACCGAGCAATTCCCAACGGGAAACTCACGGAATCCTTCGAAGCGAATACGGGGGTAAGACCAGATGGCTGCCTACTATCTCCAATGATTTTCGTGATTGCGGTGGGCTGCATAATGTGACAGACAGCGGGCAGTGGGGACACAGGCATAAAATGGACCCACACAGAAAACTTGGAAGATCTGGACTTCGCCGATGATATTTGTCTGATTTCGCACAAACTGGAAGATATACAGGTGAAAAGCAACAATTTGGTAGGAGAAGCATCCAGAGAAGATTGGACTTCCTTCAGGTGAACATAGAGGAAACAGATGTAGGTGATGGAGATTCCTGGTCGACAGCAACAACAACAACAGACAACAATCAGCCAGCATATATGGGAGAAATCTGAAAGAAGCAACCTCCTTTACCTATCTACCTACCTAGGAAGCATAGTTTCAACTGTAGGCGGCAGAAATGGGGAGGATATCAAAGCGAGGATACGGAAAGCAAGACAAGCTTTCATTACTCTCAAGATTGTTTGGAGGTCAATAGTACTCCTCAGCATGAAAAACAAGATCCGGACTTTCAACTCCTGTGTGAAGTCAGTCAGTGCTACTTACTACACGGATCAGAGACTTGGCGCATCATGAAGAGCATCTCAAACAAACTACAGACCTTCATCAACAGCTGTCTTGCCTCCATACTTCGCTCAAGATGAGATGGCCAGAAAAGATGACCAATAGGGAGGGATCTCTGGGGGCGAACCAACCAGGAACCGACTGTTCAACAAATAAGCAGGAAGAAATGGAGGTGGATTGGACATACTCTGAGAAAACAAGCCATTAAGTTACATCATGTGCCAGGCCATCTCTCTTGAGTGGAACCTGAATGAGAAGCGGTGAGTTGGTCATCAATGCGGGGGTGATATGGAAGAGGTGATGTGAAGAGGAGATGAAAGCATGTGGACAAACGTGATGCCAGGTGAAAACATTGGCAGAGAACCGAACGCAATAGAGACGTGCGGCTGAAGCCCTATGTTCCTCTAGGAACTAAAGGAAACAATAATAATAATAATTCTGGTTAGCATGTACTGTTGATTGATATGAGCTCTCCAGTGCTTTCGAGTTTCTAGTGGCTTGTGAAACCAGTCAAATCTCAGTAAACCGGCACTTCAATATAATAATGTCACAAGTAATTTCGGCGATTGTTCGACAAAGTTACCTCCTATATATATAAAACAAGTTGGGAAGTCGTATGAGTAATTGGTAGGAATCTGAGCAGTAAATGATACTCGAAATGTCATCCAGTTATTAATACTTTATTACTTTTATTATAGCACTCTGTTTCATGATAAATCCTATTTGAAATTGTAGATTTCTATCGATTTCCCATACATTTGGTCTGGATTTCCCTTATAAAGCATTCAAAAGCTGTTCTTTTAATCAAATGTGTATTTATAAGGTAAAACAGTATTTTTGTTCAGTGAAGAAATATCTCTTTTCACCGACTTCATTTCCAACCTGTACAGTCATATTTATATGACGCAAAATGAGGCATTAAGTAGCACTAGAAATTGCTCAATCAATATTGCATATATGATAAGTATAAAGATAATTAGAGTGATGTATTAAGGAGGTGGAGTTGACGTGGATGAATTACAAAACTTTTAAAGATTATTAAATAACATTGGAAAACAAGCTGGGAGTACTGGACAGCTGTTTCGTCCTAGTGCCTGGGACTCTTCATCAGTACGCACCCACAGGGGCTCGAGTTCAGGACCTTCCGGTTACAAGGTAGGCGACCCATGAATTCTAACTTCTGCTAATTCATTCAATTATCAAACAAAATCCCTACAAAAACCCATACTTGAAAAAATTGATCTGATGCTCACTAGCGACTGGCCATATTCACATAGTGACCTGAGTTTCTAGTGGGAAGCCGTGACCAGTAAGGTGCAGCAGGTTGAAAGTGAGGCAATAACTCATCAAAGAATACATTACGAAGTGGTCACGCTATGTCATGAACTGGTAGAAGTTAGAATTCATGGATTGGCCATTTAGTCGGGTCCCAGTGGCTTAATGGTCTACAAGCTCGCCTACCTTGTAACCAGAAGGTCCTGGGTTCGAGCCCCGGTGGGTGCACACTGATGAACTGTCCTAAACTAGCCCGACGAAACAGCTGTCAAGTACTCCCAGCTGGTAATCCAATGGTTCTCTAACTGATATGTCAGCTCATGATGAAATCCTCCAACCAATCAAACAAAATCCTTACAAAAACTAATAATTGAAAAAAATTATTAAATAAGTTTAAAATTGTAGGTCAAATGTTGTCTACAAAATTAACAGTACTATGATGATAACAGTAAGGAAGGCGAAGATGAAGTGAAGTGGAATGAATTCAAATGGTTAAATATAATAATATGAAAGAATACTATGACCAAGGTAAAGAAAGCGGTTTAACAAAACGTTTTTGAACACATAGTTTAGGTTTTTTGTCCATGTATAGCTAGAGCTTCGGTAGGTTATGCATAAGTGGAGAAAACCGTTAGCTTTTGGAGTGACTGGATTTGGTCCTGTAGATAACTTTGAAGGATAACTCACATTAGGCTGAATAAATTGACTCCAGAAGGTGTTCACAAAGATAAAGTGTCCATTTGGTAACTACAACTTTTTAGGAACTATGGAGCATAATATAAAGCTTCCTGCAGTTCTAGTGAGAAGTCGTGACCAGTGAGGTCCAATTAGAAGTCACGTGTGGATGGATTTCCCACCAACGATAATAGTTGGGGTCGCGCTAAATCACGAATTGGTAGAAGTTAGAATTCATGGACTGGTCGTTGAATCGGGTCCCAGTGGCTGAATGGTATGCGAGCCAGCTTGCCTTGTAACCGGAAGATCCTGGGTTCGAAACCTGGTGGTGGGTGCGTACTGTCGATGATTCCCAAACTAGGATGAAACAGCAGTTGTCCAGTACTCCCTGGTTTTCAATGGTTCTCTAACTGATATCAGTCCGTGATCAACTCGTAAAACGTAATTAAGATTGCCAACTCATGACCATAGTGTGTCGGTGGCACAGCAGTAGAGTGCTCCGCAACCACGCCGGGGATCGATCCCCGGCCACGAACGCACTCCTTTACCTCGCTAAGCCAGTAGTAAGACTGGTAAAGAGGGAAGGTTGGACGTGAGGCTAGCAACCACGTCTTGTAAAAATAATCATCACTGCTACAGAAAATTCAAAACTCGAGCTTGCTGCTCTATATCCCACTGGGAACGTAAAGGTATAAAAAATACAACTCGTGTTTATAACTACTTATTTAGATAAAAAAAAGTAGTATAGTTAACTATGCTAAAATGTTAATGAAATGATAGACAAGTGCTTTACGACCTGATATTTATTTATTTATTTATTTCACTTTAAAATTAACGTGAAGAATTGAAAGAAAAAAGCTTCAACTTACATCTCCTAATGGACTATAGAATTGTACAACATTTACATCACGATCATTTGATTTGGAATTCGGTGATGAACTAGCCTGATTACACTTTTGTGTCCCGGCTACAGCAAGCATAGATCCATCTTCATTCCAACATGAACATGTTATTTGAATCCCTGTGTCTAACAAAACTGGATCTAGAGGAAGAAAGAAAATAAAAATCTATACATGAATACGCATGAAACTCCATTAAGAGATTGATTCTCTAGGAGATTTTCATTTTCTAGCCAACGAATGATTGGGACGCAAACGAATGATAAACTAGATAGTTTTGCCACATCTATGTGCATTTATCAATTCAACTGCACCTACGGTGACAGTTATGTTGGGCGTACTATTAGACAGTTTAGTCAACGTGTCATTACTGAACATCTCGCATCGTGGTGGTTTGGCAAAGGATAGACAAAAACAATCTGTAGCTCCATTTTGTCACATTTAGCTAGTAGTGGTCATGTAGTGGAGAAAAAGAGAGCTTTCAAAGTAACCCATCATATCCTACCGAATCTTCCCAATGGACTTTGTGTTCGTCTATTGCACACAGCTGAGCTGAGGCGATAGGCATTCGAACTATTAAACCTAAACTATGCATTCAAAAGAAGTTCGTACAGCCATTATCTCTCCGTTATTGGTCTATTAAAACATAACCAACTAATGACTTCTACACCACCCCTTATTTATATTTTCAACCCCTTTCTTATCATCCTTTAATCTTATCACATCTTCATTATAAACGTTTTTCATTTACTTCCCTTACAATCTAGCATTACATAATTGGTCCATTTGTTTTTACTAGCCTTTATCGACTTCTATGTCTACCTGAATATTTGTTTGTTTGATTATGTTGTTTTTCGTTATTCGTGTTATCACACATTGCCTCACTTTTTCATCCTTGCTATTGAATGAACCATTATTATTATTATCATTACTACTTTTAAAACTAATTGCACAATTTATATTGACCATCTTATTATCCGATAGACAAAACACCGTGATTGGTTTATGTCTGAATATTTGTTTGTAAAGTTACGTATATTAGAGTTAATTTGGCCTGATGAGATCTAATTGAAACCACCATATTGTCCGCTTAAATGCGTTGTTCTAAATTTTACTATGGGAGTATTTTTGATTGCACACTAGTCAGTAACTAGTGTAATGTGTCTAGTCCTATCTTCGGTGCAGACTGAATTCTATCAGCCATGTTTGCAATGTGGCCACCATGCTAGGTAGTTCGCCATTACGGTGCACTGTGAATTATTGGTATTAGATGGTTGGAGGCAATCAGCAGGAAGCCTTGGACCTAGGTTTCGTGCTAGTTGGCACTCTTCAGCAAGGCGTATCTGCAACCTTGAAGGAACTGGTGTCCCTTCTGAGATTCTAACCCGGGTCACCCAGTGCTGCAGTCAGAGACGTTACCACTGAGCTATTCAGGCTCACGATTGACCTCCTGCAGGACTGTATTGGATATTTTTGATTGCACACCAGTCAGTAACTAGTGCACCGTAATGGCGAGCCACCTAGCATGGTGGCCACATTGCAAACATGACTGATAGAATTCAGTCTGCACCGAAGATAGGACTAGACACATTACACATTACAGTGACACTGGCCATCTTTCACAAACGCCATTGCTTGTCATAACTGCAGCCAACAACTCTGTATGAGCGTGTATGGCTTCGGTCAAAGCATCCTGTCTCCAATCTGTTTGGGTTTTTACTGTTTTTTCCCTGGATCCCCATTTATTATTCAAAGAACTATGAAGTCTACAATCTTGGATACTATGTTACACAACTCCATCTGACTATGACTTGTTTCCTTTATTCTTAACTAGACAACCAGATATTGTAGTTAATTTCTTAGTTATTCAAATCCATTCTGTATTATCACCGCTCTTAAACGTCTTTGAATTCATACCAGAACCTGCGGTTCTGAATCAATTTTGCAGTTGGAGGACTAATGTCTACATCCCTTTCAGGCTTCGGTTGGATACTGGTTAATTATTGTACATCTGTAAACTAGATTAACTACTCTATGTTCTGCCTAACATCCCAGTCATCTACTCTGAATGTTTTCCAGGCTTCTATGCTACCCCAAGATCATTTCACCTATTTCAGTTTTCTGTAGAAACCTTTTCCCTAGTGACCCTAAATAGTCTACGCATGCTACTTAAAGCTAGCGCCTTTTGCATTTCTCTCTCTTTTGTCACCCACCACTGCTCCTTGTCACTACAAAAACTTCTAGTTGACCTATGTTTGATCAAGTTTTTCTCCCCTTCATTTTTAAGGCTCACCACGATCAATCTCCGTGAAATGGTCAGTATGGACGGAACTTCAGGAATCTACAGGTTATCAGACGACTTTGATACTGGCTTTACAATGAAATGAATATGCAGTCAGACTTCTACCCACTGAGTATTGCTGCCATAATTAGATATGTGTTTGGTTATCTCCATGAATACAAACCTTAATTATTATTATTATTGTTCCCTTGGGTTCCTAGTGGAACACAGGGCTTCAACTGCACGTCTCCACTTGCTTCTGTCTTGTGCTGTTCTTTTCACTTGCGTCCATGTTATTCCATACTGTTTCATCTCCTCCTCACACGATCTCCTCCATGTCACCCTTGGACGTCCCACTCGCCGCTTCCCTTTCATCTTCCACTCGAGGGCCTGACGCGCGATGTCACCCAACGGCCTCCTCAGCTCACCGAGTGTCCAATCCATCTCCACTTCCTCCTGCATATTTGTTGGGCGATTGGTTCCTGTTTCGTTTGTTCCCATAGCTTCTTGTTTGTGATTCTTTCTGGCCATCTAATCTTCAGTATGGAGCGAAGACAGTTGTTGATAAAGGTCTGCAACCTGTTGAAAATATTCTTGGTGACCCGCCAAGTTTCTGATCCGTAAAGCAAAATTGACTTGACGTTTGTATTGAAAATCCGAATTTTGTTGTTGATGGTGAGTGACGAAGATTTCCAGATTGGTTTCAGGTTGACGAATGTGTTTCTCGCCTTCCCGATTCTCGATCTGACATCTTCGTCCGTTCCTCCTGTGGTTGAGACAATGCTCCCCAGATAAGTGAAAGAAGTAACCTCTTTCAAATCCCTCCCGTTGATGGTGATTGGCACTGGATGTTGCTGCTGTTGTTGGTTGATTATTTTCATGACCTCCGTCTTGTCTATGTTCACCTGCAATCCTGTCTTTGCTGCTTCTTCGACCAGTTTGTCGGTTTTCGCTTGTAAGTCTTCGATTTTGTGTGACATCAAACATAAATCATCCGCAAAATCCAGGTCTTCTAGGTTCTTCACGTCGGTCCAGGATATCCCTGTCTTCTCGTTTCCCACTGTCTGACGCATAATCCAGTCCACCACAATTAGGGATATCATTGGTGATAATAAGCACCCTTGTCTGACTCCTGTGTTTACTCCAAACGCTTCGCTGAGTTTTCCGTTGTGGATCACTTGACATGTACCGTTGTCGTACAGTTGTTGAATAAGGTTGATGAAACAAACCTTAATTCCTCATGAGAAATCTTTATCCACACTTGATTTCATCTTCTTTCATTTAGTCGCTGAGACGTATACGGACTAATGCATTGGCTGGAGTCCATGAGGATGTTCCAAACGGAGGGAAAATCTTGTGTCTCGTTGTGTTTGCAACTAGTACTGGGCAGGAACAGGTGTTTAACTAGACAGAACTGCTAAAAACGACCAGTATTGCCAGCCAGTAAGCATAGAACTCCACAGATGCTTTCAATATACTCCTTAGATTGGTTCATCTTCCCCACTCAACCATTAAAATCACCCACTGAGATGACTATATGTCGACAGTTTTGCTTCTAGTAGCCGGCTAAACAGCTTTGGATTAAACCCATCCTTTATCTCGTCTGAACTGTAGGAATTTGCTGCCTAATCAGAGCAAACGGAAGTGCTTCACGTAAGATTGATTGGTCTGTATAGACTGATATCAGTCGGTCATTTCTTCAGATGACTTGAACAAATGCAGTGGTCATTTCTGACAGAATTCTCCAAGTGGCACCAAAATGTATGGAGCACACTGGTATGCGAGTTACACTGTGCACCCATTTTATTCCTACGCGTTCCGAGTGGAACATAAGGCTTCAAGCTTGAGCTTTGCAGTTTCCGTAGTGGCAAATGCTTTTACTAGCTTCATGCATAGCCTTCCCTGTTTAACGGATTAACTACCAGCTGCAGACGTCTTGGAGTGCATCGAGTGGAAGTCACACCAGAACCACGTACATGGCTGGCACTGAAGTACCGTGCTGGTGAATATTAAACTAGGCATATTGAAAGAAATAGAGGTTTGCAGTAATATATAGTCTCTAAATCCACAATATGGCAGGGACAGTTATCGTAGACACGCTGTACACTTGTTTTTAACAGGTTTCGAAATGCCTCGTGTTTTTTTAAAGCATATGTCAAGGAGATATCTACATTCAAAGATCTTAAGTGAAACTGAGCGGTAATTTGTTAGTGTTAAAAACACTTTCGTGCGTCGGTGGTATAGCGGTTAGGATGCTCGCCGACCATGCACATGGTCTGGGGTTCGATCCCCGGTCAACGCACTCCTTTACCTCGCTGAGCCAGAAGTAATGCTGGTAAAAGAGGAAAGGTTGGGCATAAGGCGAGCAACCCGATCCTGTAAAATAAACACTGCTACAGAAACTTCAAGCCACTAGCTTGAAGCCCTATGTTCCATTGGGGAACGTGAAGAAAAAAAAGCACTTTCGGTTGGTAAAGCTGCAACTAGTCACAGTAGTGGAACTTTACTGAAAGCCAGTGGGTTCTGACGTAGCTAGAAAAGGATGCAAACAATAAAAGACACTTCAATACACGTCTGTTGTTTTCTATGCGAGGTAGGGTTTTCACATTAAATTCCCTAACTGGCATCTACTGTTCTCCTGAATAACATGAGAATGCACACCTTCACCTCATTTCACACAAATCAACTGAGCTTTTAACGCAGAACATTGTACAGAAGTGCAGGAGTCCAAGTTACCACAGAGCACATGGAGGTGGAGAGAAACAAATCCAAGAAGATTATAATAAGCAGAAATGTACGGGAGAAAAAACAGGCACATGGTGAAACATGAGGTCCTAATGGATCTGGATCACAAGAGGTGAATGCATACATGCCATTGAGAACGATTTACAGCCATATCCCCACAGTATGAAGCGCTTGAATCTTAGCGTCTGGAAGACGGTAGCCAGACAGACTGCACCACCATACCTGGCTCAAACCAACAGACGGAGTTTCCATAGTTTTGACCAGCTCTCACTCTTTTTCAATCCATGCCTATTTCGTCTAAAATTAGTCAACAAGCAAGGCGGTGGCCTGGCATGCGTGACAAATTTCCCAGCCATTTCAATCGCCATAGCTTCACAACCTCATCCATAGACGTACCCTTTCTACATTCGGTTCTACGCCTAACCTCAATACGATTTACTGTATTATACCACTTAATACGGGGATAGAACGCAAACATTTTTGGCCAAAGATATCTGGCTTTTTCATGTTTTCCATTCTCACAGCTGTAGAAAAGGACAGAGAGGACATATGTACATACGGACATCATGTCTACAGAAGAGATTGTATATAGTTAGTGGATATACTCCTTGCAAAATCTACAGTTAGAGTGCACAGTGAAGATTAAGATAAAAGATTAATCGTAGTTTTACATACATGACTGATAGAATCCATTTTGCATCAAACAAAGGACTAGACAAGTGCAATTAGTTACTAGCTAGTGTCCGATCAAAGTACTTGTTTTTCTCTCTATATGATTTAAATGTATTCTGGCTTTCACACAGAGTGGACTAGATTAAAACTAGTTGAAGAGAAACGACTTCTTTAAAAGTTATGTTTTCAATTCGCATCGAAACTGCAGATTATGAGAATTAATAAATCCACAAACTGTTTGACATTATTTATATAAACTTGCTCTTTACTAAAGCACCCTTCACCTTTCATGAGCTGATATACACCAACGGATATAAAATTTTAAAAAACAGCGAAAAGACATAACCGAAATATAAAAAAACAAAAACTTTTACCTCATGGAATGCTAACCAGCTAAATACTTCAAATTTTACCTGGATCATCGTGGTTTTTCATTATTTGACAGCGTCCAACATCATAGCATACAACTAATGATGGTAGTAAGCGTGTCACCTGTCCTTTATACCATTCTAAACCCACAAGACGAATGGCTCCATGTATGTTGTTCAAACAGTGCATCGATACTTTTGACTGAAATTTCAAAACGTTCAAGAAATAAAAACAATAACTATTAAAACGTCGTATTATTAGTAATTATCAAGCACTTTGTAAAGCGGGAACCTTAAGATGTATCCAAGACAGAAACACAAGGGAATTCCGATGTCAAGAACACATTTTGAACATGATATTCACTGATAAGTTCTAATCGATCCAGACGACTACAATTAATCTTGGTTTTACTCCTCGCTATTGCGTGTGTATTTTCTAGCATTAATTTAGCTATTTTCAGATAGTAAATTGAGAATTGTCATTATGAAACAGATAGGGGAAAATAGGTATTACAACAAGACAAGATCATATTCAGTGAAGTGTCACGGATGTTTTTCGTCTAATCAGCATCCAGAGGATAACAGAATTTTTTTTATATTTTATATTTTTGATTACAGCTTGATTCCACACAGAATTTTTGGTACAAGTATGTGATATCGGTAGCCCAAGTCTTGCAGGCCGACCACAGGTATCAGGTGTGCGTCGGCAGGGGATCGAACCCCGGACCGTGTGCATGGTCGGCGAGAGTCTTAACCGCTGTGCTACCAACGCAGCATAATGATTTGTATTAAGCACCAGCCTGTTTTAATAACAATGAATATACAGATACACGCGTAAACAAATTGCTTTCGTATTAACTGCATTGGCAAAAATAGGCCCAAGGAACGAAGCAAGTGTGCTTCCTTGGACATCGGTTATCAAAACGAACATAAATAATCACTTGCATCGCCCGAGATAAACTTCGTTTAAACATAAACCGGAAAGAATATCAATAAGTTGAGTCAGACAATTTAAACTCATCCTACTTCCTTATGATTATACTCAGGTCAGAAGTATTGCTGCTGTGGTAACTCAAATATTTTTTGGCTGTTATTCAACTTCTTAATTCAGTAAATAAAAAGCCAACTTTTTTAGCTGATGGACTCACTATTAGGCATTTTCCCTCATCTATGTCATACAATCACACTATTTTTGTTAATTACTGTTAATAACTGGCGATTGACTTTACATAGGCTATTTCTCGGACATTAAAAAAACATCGCTGCGTTAAACAAGCATTAGCGGTGCTTCAGACTAAAATGTCTTTCAAAACTTGTTGCAATTCAATGGTTTCGACATTTGATTGAACGGTGTCTACGAAATATAAATATATATTCGTCAAATTGGAAACTATGATTATCGTGGAGTTTCTATGGAGTAATCTGCATTAAGGAAGCTAGTACATTTACTGGGTAAAAGTATCAACAACTAGCAGGAAAGCGTTTGGATCAAACACCTACAAGGAAGTTCCCACAGCTGTCGTAAACACAGACTTCTCCTGTCAGCAGCCCAAACAGCAGAATATTTCCGTCTGGTGACCATTCAACTGAAGTAAGGCTACCACACTTCAACTCCCTCCCCCATATCCTGTTTCCATCGACAGATCCAACTATAGCCGCCCCATCTTCGTAAACTATGCAAATCCTCTGACCTTCAGGGTCCCACTATATAATATTAACAGTTATGTGTGGTTGTTACTTTCATATCCTGAACAGATGATTTGTTTCTGTTATTTATCATTTCTTCATACCATGCTCCTTTGTAAAGTATCCAAACTATTATGAGACCATTCCGATCAGACGATGTAATTTTTCTAAACTTTTCATTCCATGTAATCACCTGAACATCACCTGAAGAATTAAACAATTTCCACAATAGTATATATTAGAAACCTGTGTGTCCTTTCAGGTTCTGATTCATTACCAAATTTGTTTGAGCAGCCAAACCTTTTAGTTTATTATCATTTTGCACTTCAAGCTTAAGAATTTTCAGTAGACCATCCTCTCCTCCACAGGCAATGTAGCCATGTTCCTTACTCCATGATACTGATTTTAATTTCTTATTATTCTGCGTAGTAATCTTTTTACTCAAGTAGGAAAACATTTTCAAAAATGAGATAGCAACCTTCAGTGTCCTAACTAATTATTTACAGTGTTAAAACAAGAAATTCAATATCCAATACTGCTTCCTGCAAGTTAGTATAGACCAACTTCATCTTTTATTCTCGTTTCTTGGTCGTGAGGTAAATGTTCCTGGTTTTCGGTAGATCTCTGAATCGCTCGTCTCATCACTTGACTGTCGTAGCTTTAGAAAGTTGGGGGCTTTCGTTGACTCCAAAAAGAAGTGGTGCTGGCACTAATTATATTTAGTTTGTAGTATGCAGTGTGTTAAGGCCGTGTTGCTACTGTCAATGGAGTTGTTCCTATTACCCGGTGTCGTTGACAAAAGAGAGGCAATGATAACAGACAATTAGTGTAGGTTATGTTGACTTAAAAAAGCAAATGATAGAAGGATAACGTAAAAGAGACAGCTAATAATATGTGCACATACATATTTTTACAATGATAATAGTGTAAGGGGCATAATAATACAATAATATATTTGTATCTATCTATGTAGGACACACCAGTTGTACATGCATGGATAAGTATTATTTAAATTGCTTGAATTTAGTCTATGGTGAAATTACATGGTGGCTGTCCATTTTGTCTTTAGTTTGTGGGAACAATCAGCCAACTAGTCATTCAATGGAACATATCAAGAAATATAGGAATATTATCTTCGCATTAACAAAAACCCAAGTATGTATTGGATGGATTAAAAATACTTGGGGAAAAATTATAGCTTGAAGTCATTTCCCCGATATAACTTTGGTGTGTACGGCACCGAATCTTATTCTTGATTTAAATTGGGTATTAGTTTGAAATAAGTGATGTGTTTGTATAATTTTGTCAGCGTTTTCATCGTAAGTAGCACCAGAAGTGAGTGTATTCAATGCAGACTAATTTGGGCATTGTCAGGCAGATTTGTTTTTACTACGTTGAGGTCAGCCACCATTTGTCGCTACATGGTTGTTCGATACGAGTAAGTTAATTAACATGTAGAGAGCTAATTTTATACCATTTAAGTCACGGTACTGCTTCTATAGGATGCTATACAGCGTACTGATATGGTGACGGGGGGGCGGTTCCCAGGATTTTGAGTTAGTACGAGCCCGAAGCTTGAAGGAATTTGTGGTATTTATAAGCAAGTGGCTTCAAGTCCTGTTCAACTTCAGTCTTACTGTAGGTCTGTGCGAATTCCACCACAAGGCAAATAGAAGAGAAGAGGCAAGCAGCAACGTACCAGAAGAGAAAGAAGTATGTGGATACGGACAGAACCTTTATGTTTGTATATATATATATGTTCGTTGTACATTGTCGTCTGGCAAACATATATATTTATTTTTACTTAGTCTTTTCATGCATCTATGCGACTAATCTATTTATCGTTTATAGAATAATTAGGGTATTTATGTGCGTTTATTAGGTACTATAGTAAACCAATAACTGATTCGTTCTAGGAATAAATAGTTTATTAATGTAATCAGTAGAATGAAACAGTCTGTACACAGAGCGTTTGAAACTAATGACCGTGTTGCAAGTTCTGACTTCTAGGGGCAGGTTGTTCCATATTTTAGAATACATGGCTGTGAAGAAGTTTTCGCGGAGTGTTGACTTAAAGGCTTTTATTGTCACTATGCAAGTTTGGTTACGCAGATCGTAAGAGCCTTCTTGTGCGAATTGTATGTCCTTACTGTCTGAGAATGATATTTTATGTAGGACCTTAAAGAAGAATATTAGGTTTATAATAAGCCGTCTTGTCCATAGTAGGTCAAGATTTAGAATCATGCACCGTGAGATGTAGTCTTTCTTACAATCGTAGCCAAGTAGTTTGGAGGTAAAATATCGTCGGATACTTTCCATCCTTGGTTTGTCACGTGTGCGAGTGCTGCTAATAATAAATGGACAGTATTCTAGTAGTGGCCTCACACACGTTTTGTACAGAATGAGCTTGTCTTCACTGTCGTGAAAGTTCCTGAGTATGCATCCTAAGAGCATCCTCGACTTTCGTGTCTGTGATGCCACTTGCTCAGAAAATATTAGGTTACTCGAGTTCCTCAGACCTAAGTCAACGACGCTTTGGATTCTGGTTAGGTTAGCCAATTGAGGCGTTAATTTCATGTCGATTGAGGGTGCGCCGAAGCAGATCCAACCACATTTGTTCAGGTTAAATTGTAGATTCCATAAAGATGACCAAGCAGTCACTTTATCTAATTCTTTCTGCACAACGTTCTGGAAGTACCCTAGGTCATCACATTGGAATGCATAAGCTACTTTTAGGTCATCTGCAAAGATGAATGGTTTAACATGTGAGAAGCAAGCGCGTATGTCGTTGATGTATAGTGTAAATAGGAGGGGTCCAATGACACTACCTTGTACTACACCAGAGGTGATTGGGCTAGGTCTGGAAGTCTCAGAACCAAGTCTAAATATTTGGGACCTGTTGTTAAGGAATGATTTAACCCATCCCGCTAGTGGGTCACGTATTCCTAAGAAGTTTGGCTTATGTATCAGCAGCAAATGGTCGATAAGGTTAAATACCCTAAAAATGTCGAAGTAGATGACAAGTACTAGTTGCTGTCGGTCACGACTACTGGTCACAAAAATGAAGAAGCTTAAGTGGCATGTTAAACATGATCTGGATTTTAGGAATCCATGCCGGTTCGGACTTACAATATTGCTATTATCTTTTACTAGTCTCTCCATAATTCTAGGTGATTAAGTATGATATTGATTGGCCTGTAATTCCTGGCTTCTGTTTTTGAGTCGCATTTGTGTTTAGGTATAACAAATGCCGTTTTCTATGGATCCGGGATACTGCATGATTGGGACGGGCTCAAAGCAATGCAATGCTGCAACTACGGCTATTGCAAAAAAATCTCAGAGCTTTACTTCAAAAAGGAGGGAGGGTGGCCCATGCTAATCAGCAGATATGGTAGTGGTCAAAAATTTGAATCGCTCCTATCTGTAGGACAGCAGCATGCACTTTTGACAGCTCGGGAACTAAACATTAGTCTGGACCCTCAACAAAAAAAATAATAAGCGTTGTACAGATCTAAATTGCAAATAAAAAAGTGCTTTTGCTCCTACCATCTACAAGCCTGTTCAGCTCCTTGTCAAGATGCTACCCATTTGGCCCTATAGAAATTCGTGAGACATCTCACAGGCCAGCTCGTCCTACGGGTTATAACTTTCCAGATCTTTGAATTCACTCCTCACTTAAATATCACTTACCTACCTTGTTATGATCTGTTTATTTACGCAATATTATACTTGACTTCATCTTAACTACCTAGGCTATTATTAAAGCTAAAACTTACTCCTTGTTCATATTTGTTACTTGCCCAAAGTCTGGTTGCTTTGATTGAAAACACAACAACCTCAATTTTTGAACAAAGCTATATCTTCTTCGAAAACATCATAGTTTCCATGGTTGGACCAATATGGTTAGCTTTGAACACTGCAAATGTATACCATTTTGCAGCTGCGCAGAATTTTCTTCTCTTCCTGAAATAAATAAATAAATTTATTCTCATAGTACAGTACATGAGGGACGCCAGTTTACAGGCATCATCAAATTGTTACAGAAATAGAACCATATAATTCAATCACAATTTACAGGCAGTAGCAAGATATGCTTTACGTGTTCGCTGGAGATTATACATACACTTGATAAATGTTAATCCAAGCAGTATAAAACAGCCTTTTCACTTATATACAATCATTTCTGTGCACAGTTGGAAAAATCTGCTAGATTGTCAGTGAGTGCAACACATCAGGAAATACAGAAGTATTGTCTTCGCATTAACAAAAAAACCAGGTCTTTGGTGGATGGATTATAAGTGCCTGGGAAAAAAATAAAGCTTGAAGTAAATATTCATACATAACTTTGTTGTGTGCAGAGTCCTCGAATTATAGTTCATTGATGTGTTATTTTGAAATCAGTGATGTGTTTATCTCATTTGATCTTCAATGTCATTGTTGGGAGTAAGTACATAATCTTTAGACGCATTAATTAATGGATTTCTACTGCTCGTGGGTATTTTCTTAGCGTGAGGAAGGTTTATGAAATTCAGCTGTTCCGACAGGAGTTGAGAATATCAACTGCTCAGCAACATTATGGATATAAGTTCATCACATTATCTTAGGAAAGGTGGGTTGTAGTTGGTGAGGTATATATGGTGCCCAACGAGCGTACATCTGTCCATGTGATGTTGTGGTGAGTTATACCTTTTTCATGTTGTCGGTTTATGTCCATTTTATTCCACTTATTGTGTTGGGTAGTAGTTTTACAAACGAGATTTCTTGTCTGTTTGAGGATACGTATCTTAACCGTTAATGTTTTATCTAGAATTATAAATATAGGCAAAAAACAACAGGTGTGGTATTTAAGCTTATACATTAAATGGACCTATAATTTCGGAGGCTCTCTGATAGGAACTAGAACTGCTATCGTTTGCAAACTCTTGTAGTTTGTCATTAAGCACCTTTTTGAAGGAGGCCAATGTACTTGCTTGACGCATTTCCATTGGTAGTTTATTCCATATCTGTGCATACCTAATCAAGTAAAACTTTTGCCTGGTGGCTGTTTTACATTGTTCGATAGCTACTGTACCCTTAGTGTGTCTCAGTTTGTAGCCATTGTCATAGCATTCAATCGCGTGGCAGCATAGCACTCGCCCAGATAAACGCTGTTCACTGGTTGTCCACAACTATCAGCAGGAAACGGAACGAAGTTTGGGTTGTCGCTCAACTTTGATGGTGACCTTCGTGAAGGGTTTACAATTTAACATTTATATGAACATGTTCTGATTGCTTGTACAATAATTAAACAATTTAAACTTTTGAAAAAGTATTAATTTATGATACTTCAGGATTGTAATTTATAACATTACTGATCGTGCCTGTAAAAATGGCATGCATTTCTTGTAAACTTACCCGTTTATATGAAATATAAATTATTATTAAGGACATTGTGAAGATTTAAAGCTGTAGTAAAGG